GTTATTACATTATTATTGTTGTTACATTAAAATTATACAAATATATTTTATAAACACAATGTAATTTATATTTTTGCTATACTCTTAAAAAAAAAAGTTAAGAAAAGGAAAATCATTCTTTTTATTTTCAGGCTTCAAACTGTTTTTTTTTCTGCTTCGCCTTATCTAATTTTGTTGCTGAATGTAACAAACACTTTAAAGAAACAAAAATAAAAACAGTGCAAAATTAATTTAAACTATTAATGTGTTTTTATTTCTTTCTATTTTAATCTCTTTTTATTTTGTTAGTTTTGTTTTTTTTGTTTTAGAAACTTTTTCAGCATTGATTATTATAAAACTTGCTAATGGCCATGTTCAAGTTGTCTAAAGTAATTTTAATGAGGGGACACTTGTTTATGGTTGATTTAAAGGGAGTTACATGTACTACAAAACTACACAACTAGATAGGGTTTTCCTCTTTATAAAAAACGTTTGCGCTATCTAAAGCATTTTAGTAACTGGCTCTTGATAAAATAAAAATTGTAATTAAACAAAGATTACCGCTTTTCTGCTTTGTTTTTTTTTATTTCCATTAAAATATTTTACTTTTATGTACCATGAAACCTGATGTATTTTTACTAATTCTTGCTAGATCCAAAAAGTAAAATAGTATTTTCGGTTTTAAGATGTTATTAGCTGGACTTTTAACAAATATCAGTATATTTTGAAATTTACGTATCTTATATTTATAGCACTAGTATTAGTTTTGTTTTTAAAATAAAATAAATATAAGTTGGGCGTTTAAAGAGTTTATTCATTGATCACATAATTTTTAATCGGTTTAAAATTTAGTTTGTTTTATAAAAAAAATAATGAAAGTGTTCTATGAAAAACTGGCTCGGCCAGGAAGCAGGAGCAATCGCTCTCGAATACTGACCACGGAAATAATATTTAGTTGCGAAAAACTGGCCAGGTTTTTTAGTCGTTTTGAGAACATTTAAGTTTATGTACGTTACAAAAAATTTTGTTTTACAGACATACATGGAAACATAATAAACTTAAATGTTCTCAAAACATTTTGATGTGGAAGAATAAAAAGAATATTCGCAAACACTAAAAATCTGCCAAATTAACAAATCAACTAATTCTATTAATTCGAAAAATGCGCTGACTAAGCGAAATAAAGTTCTAGAGTATTCTGTTGAAATATTTTAGAAATTGTATTATTCACAATTAGTTACGTTTTGAGATTTCTAGCATCAACTGTTTTAAGAATATATTTTCAATACTATGGCTCATTCTCGGAGCGAAACTCGGAGTCTCGGAGCGAAACTGTAAATCTTTTCAACTATTATTATTTGTTTACAAAAATAAATGTTTTATAATATATATTTTTTAAATTGTCAAAATTTCGAAAGCTTACTATAAATTATAGATTTTATTAGTATATTCTTATTTTTTATTTAAAAAGTATGTATTTTTTATGTGAATGTAATTTTGTGAACCTGTTTTTTATTGTAATGTAATCTTTTAAAGCAACTTTTATGATTTAATTTGTAAACAAAGACTAACAAAAATAATTGCATTTTTAATGAAGTTATTAATAATCATTAAAGTTAATAAAACTAATTACGTAACAAACATATAAGAAGTTTCTGGTTACTAAACACAAACAATGCATACAAAGTAACGCAAAGATAAACAAGCAGCCCGCATAAGGTCTTGACAGAACACAAATATATATAGCAAGTTATTAGATATAAAGAAAAGTTTCTAGATATTGGTTTACTAACTCTAATTATATTTGCTTCAGTTGCCATTCTATATAACTCGCTATACTTTTTTGTGCTTTAAATACTAATTAAAATTAAAAAGCCCACTAACTAAACATCATCAGGAATATTGTGAAGCAGTTTTGCTTCCACGTCATAAAGTATTTTTAACCTTTTTAGTTCATTTTATCTAGTATATAAATAAAAATTATTTTACACTTTTTGTTAAATAAAGAACATTTGTTTCCTTTTTAAACAATCATAAGATGTAACTTTATTTAAAAAACGTCGCTGAATTTTATTTAAAAAATTATAAAAGAGCGATGATTCGAAAATAATTGTTCTAAAGGTAATTTATTTTGCTTTAAGTTTTTTCGCATTAAAAGATATTTTATTTTCCTAATTTTTTTTTTGTAATTGTCTCTCATCGGTCCAATTAATCTTTTGCGCATTTTTTTTTTTTTGCTTTTAGAAATATTCTCAAAATGACTAAAAAATCTGGCCAGCTTTTCGCAACTTAAAATTATTTCCGTGGTCAGCAATCGAGAGCGATCGCTCCAGCTTCCTGACCAAGCCTGACATAAAATTAAATGGCAAAGGGAAAACCCAAATATAACCTTTTTAATCAAGTTAAAAAGAATTTTTTTGTATTGACGTCAAAATTATTAACTACAAAAGCGCATTAATCAGACCAGTATTTGGAACTGGAACTTAGCTTCGAGAAAAAAAAATGGCATTTAAAATTATAAAGTTTTTCCCTAATATGTCAACAAATAACTTGTTCTGGAAAGTTTGATTAGCATGAAACTTATTTTTCAAGGATTTATTATGACATGAACATAATTTATCTTAGCACTTAGGGATCACATAACGGTCAAAGAATAAATAAAAACTTGCCAACCTTTTTTTTAACATTTTGGTTTTAACAAAATCTTTAAATACTACTTATAAACTAGTTAATCATTTTTAATCGACATTCAGTCTATAATCAATTCAAAAAATTAGTAATAAAGAAAAAACTTTTGTTAAAAAAAACTGAAATTAAAATAAAGTTATATGTAATATGAACATTTAAACTTGAATTAAATTTATTAAATTTTTTTTTTACTTTAACAGTTTGGAAATTTTATCAGTAAAAAAAATTGTAAAACATAGCGTTTAAAAATTTTTAAAAGCGTTTTAATTACATTTAATAAAATAAATTACTAAAACTATGATTAATAATAAATTTAATTTAAATATAATAAAAATAAATATAAATTAAAAACTTTTTAAAAACGGAAGTAGAAAAAAAAATTCAAACTATCTAATATAAAAAATATTCAATTTATCTAATATAAAAAATATTCCACAAATGTTTTTTACAACAATTAATTACAGCTTAATGTTTTCCGCATAATCTGTTATAAAATAAAGTAATTGAAAAAAAGTTTTTGCCTAACCTATATTGCAAAACGTGCACATGAAATCGTGAATACATACATAAAATTCAAATAGGGAAACACTTCTTAACAAGTCTTAATATATATATATATATATATATATATATATATATATATATATATATATATATATATATATATATATATATATATATATATATATATATATATATATATATATATATATATATATACAAATAGTATTGCGTACTAAGGTAAGCAATCTGACGTCATACTGAGATTGGTGATGGCGTCAGATTGAATATTTCATAAGAAATATTCAATCTGACGCCATAAGAAATATTCTTCTTTTTCTAAAAAAGCCATATGGGTTAAGGTTAGCAAAAAAAGTAAGCAAATGCTTATAAAAATACACTTTGGTAAGTGTATACATATATATATATATATATATATATATATATATATATATATATATATATATATATATATATATATATATATATATATATATATATATATATATATATATATATATATATATATATATATATATATATATATATATATATATATATATATATATATATATATATATATATATATATATATATATATATATATATATATATATATATATAAAATATGACTGATACACCAACCTTTATTGTTTAAAACTGATTTTATTTTAACTACAAAAAAAACTTTTACTTACTTTTCCACCCCAGTACAAAGAATTTGTATTTGATGGATTTCGAAATTTTAAGTTTGGTTTTGAACCATAAAAAACAGCTTTGAATGCATTTAATGTATCTGCAGCTATACTATGAATTCTTGTTCCCATCTGACCAGGAAAAATAAAAGTGTTTTCTTTGGCTTCAGCTTTCCTATGGAAAGAGCTGACAAACTTTGAATGAAAATGCACTTTCCCATCATATAGAGTAAGTTTGCAAACCATTCCATCTCCATCAATAGCTTCAAATAAACACAAAAAGTTTTTATTTAATAACCAAATATATTTTATTTCAAACTAAAACATTAATACTTATTAAAAGAATCCCCAAGCGTCGAGACAAGTTGTATTCATATCAAAGATAAACATTAGAAAATAAGTTAAATGTTAATTAAACCTTCCTTTTGTTAATATCTCTTGAATGAGATATTAACAAAAGCATTTTCTGTTTTGCGATTATACTTCCGGTTGAGAGCCTAATTTAAGGCTCTCAAATCTGCAAGTTTTTTCGGTTAAAAAAACATCTGGTTTCAATAATAGATAATTTCTCTCACCGCAGAGTTTTTTGAACAGTTCAGTTTTACATAATCAGATTGGGTTTTCCCCTTTAAAAATAGTCTGTGGTGGTTAAATGAAAATGAGGTGTCTGATTTAATAAAAAATAGTTTACAAAATGGTAAAAGTTTTGGACCAAATAGTATCCCCACAGACCTTCTTAAACTTACTTCTCATGTTATTTTCAAGCCTCTCTGTACCGTATTGAATAATTCTTTTAATAAAGGTCTTTTCCCCGATGTTTTTAAGATAGCCAAAGTTATTCCTATCCATAAAAAGGGTTCTCTAATGGACCACAAAAACTATCAACCAATTTCTCTTCTATCTAACATTAGTAAAATATTTGAAAAAGCCATGTACAACAACAGACTTTATAGCTTTCTTGACAAAAACCAATGTCTTTACAAACATCAGTATGGATTTCGTAACAAACACTCCACAACTCATGCACTTATTAAAATAACTGAAACTATTAGAAATGCTCTTGACAATAAACTTTTTGCATGTGGAGTGTTTCTTGACTTTGAGAAAGCCTTTGATTCTGTTGATCACTCCATCCTCTTAAGTAAATTGGAACACTACGGTGTTTGAGGTAATACTCTCCAATGGTTTTCATCATATATTTTTAATAGATCGCAATTTGTCTCCATCAATGATGCCAAATTTTTTCCAATAAAATGCTCCACGGGTGAACCCCAAGGTTCTGTATTAGGACCATTGCTTTTCCTTATTTTTATATGATCTTAATATCTCTCTAAAATTTTCAACGGCTTACCATTTTGCTGACGACACCAACTTACTCATAACAAATAAATCATTAAAAAAAATTAACAAACATATTAATCATGATTTATCTAACCTTCCTCAATGGCAGCGCTCTAACAAACTAAGTCTTAATACCAACAAAACTGAACTTATTATTTTTAAATCTAATCAATCTAAAATGTATAAAAGCCTAAACTTTAGACTAAGTGGACAAAAAATCTTTCCCTTAGTTTCATAAAGGTAACAAGAATTTAATAATTAGAATCCAAATTTACTCAGATCTATCTTTTTCCTCTCATCTTAAAAACACAGCAGTAAAATTGTGTAGATCAAATGGAATGCTAGCCAAAATTCTACTTGAAATATACCATGTAATTTTTGGATCACATCTTAGATATGCTTGTCAGGTTTGGGGACAATGCAAGTCTAATGCTTTTTTAAGGCTATGTAACCTACAAAACAAAGCTTTAAAAATAAAATTCTTTCAACGGTATCATTCTAACTCTGACATCCTTTACTTTCTATTAAAAATACTCAAATTATGTGATCTTGTTTATCTATTAAATTGTCTATTTGTCTGGAATCATAAGCAAGTAAACCTCCCTCCGTCATTGTCTAATTTTTTTACCACTAAAAAAAGTTCTCGTTATTACCTTCGATCTTTGAGTAACTTTAAATTATCTATCCTAAATCGCTGTTCAGTAAAATACGGTGATAATTCTATTACAAACCGATGTGTAAAATCGTTACTATTGTTATTAGTATTATTATTATATGTGATGTTAATATTATTTACATTTTATTTACATTTTTATTACTGCCATTATTACTTATTAAAATTCTTTAATATATAAATGTGATATTTGTTAATATTATTATTGTTATTATTATTGTTAATTTTATTGCTATTATTGCTATTATTACTATCATTGTTGTTGTTATTTTATTGTTATTATTATTTCTATTATTGTTATTATTATTGCTTTTGTTATTATAATTACTAATATAATCATTATTATTGTCATTATTATATTTAATAGTATTATTGATATTACTATAATTGTTTAATTTACATTATTATTATTATATGATTGCTATTATTATACAATTGGTGTTTACCTTAGATTAGTACTCGTACTATTAGTAAACAACCATGAAATGTAAACTTTTATTTCAAAATAAATTGTTATTGTATTGTTATGTAAAACATTTACTGTAGCATGTTTTTGTTTTTTGTTCAACGTATTGTGAAGTGTTTAAGTTAGAATAAACTAGCGTAATAAAATTAGTAATTAATCGAAGCAAACTTGTTACTTTTAATAAAAAATACAGCAAAGTATATGTTTTCTTTTACAACCTGCAATTTATTTGTACTATTTATCACTAAATCACAAAAATAAAATAGTATTTTTGTGAAAGAATTTATTTTTTATTATATTAATTTATACTTATAATTCATAATATCGTTTTTAAAATGATCTAATATATACTTATTATACTGATATTAAAAAATTGAATCTTATATTTTCATTTAACCGCAAAAGGGAAACCCCAAACATACTCTACATGTTTAAGTTGATTTAGGTTTTTTAAAAGAAACTTTTTTTAATGACATAAAGTATTAAATACAAAAACGCATTGATCAGACCGGATTAAAAAAATATTAAATAGTCTAAGAGCCGGATCTTACCTTTGCGAGAAACAAAATGGCGTTAAAAATTAAAAGTTTTATTTAAAATATGGAAGGTTTAATTAACATTTAACTTATTTTCTAATGTTTATCTTTGATGTGAGCACAACTTGTCTCGACGCTTGGGATCCCTTTAAAAGGTAAAAAAAAACATTTTTTTAAAAAAAGTAAATATAATAAGAAATTTAAAGTATTCAAACTGTTCAAATATTTTCATTCACATTTTTTTTTTGTTAACAATTTTTAGACTACAAGTTGTTATGTTAACTAATAGGGGAAAAATCGTTAGCAGGAAACTAGTTGCAGACATTACAATACCATTGCAAGGTAATTTCGCCTATGCAATTATCAAAATGTGAATAATTTTGAGAACTGTACATATTTTACTTTATGTACATTTTTTACTTTTTTGCAAGAATATAGCAACAATTTGTCTTTTTGCAAGAATAGAGATTTTATATAAATAATAATATACATTACAATTAATTCCAATCTTCTTAATCTGAAAACATTCATAATTCAATTAAAAGCAAAGTCAACGTGAAATGCGCTTAAAAAATTCTTACGTTTAACTTTCTATTATTCAAATCTCTATAAGTCAAAAACCTCCAAAATTCGAATGGATTTTTCAAAAAAATTCTCTCTGTAAATCAACTTTTTTTATTTTCTGATGTGTAAAAAGCTTGTTAAATCATTGAACTCTTTTTTCAAATTTCGAATGTTTTGAGTTTTTGAAAAACAATTAGTGTGAATTATTTTTTTCTGTTTAAAAAAATTCATGGAATCAAAAAGACTGTATAAAGAAAACAACTTAAAGCAGAAATATGATACTCTACTGGAATTGGAGAAAGGAAAAACAAACAAAGAGGTTTCGAAAATTTATTCCACCAAACACTCTTTCAAACTGGAAAAAAAATAAAGATAAAATCTTTGATGCTTTTTGTCAAGGTAATTTGGCTAAACGGGTGAAAGTTGATATATATTACTAAGTAAACAAAGCTCTACTTAAATGGTTCAAACGAATAAGAGTTGATAATGTCCCAATTAGTGGTTTTAGTAAAAGAATTATTAAAAACAACTATTAGTAAAAGAAAAAGCTTTTTATTTTGCAAAAGGATTAAGCTTTAAAAATTTTCAAGCTTTGGATGGATGGCTAGACAAATTTAAGAAAAAGTAAACTAATTTCTTATTTTATTTTATCCGATTTTTATGAATAACGACTTTACAATATATGATTATTTTACAGCGTTTTTTTTTTTCACTTTAATTGTTTTAATAAATAAAATAAACTTTTTTTCCAGAATCAGATATTCTCGAAGTTAGATTTAAACATATGCATAACTTATGTCTAACCAATTATAAACTTTTTTTGTAGGTATGGTATATCTTCCAAAACCATTTCTGGAGAGGCCAAGTCAGTTAATGAGCAAATGGTTGCTCCATGGATCAAAACCACACTGCCTACAATTTTCTCTCGATACCCACTTAAAAATATATTTAATGCAGATAAATTTGGACATTTCTACCATTGTTTGCCAAACAAAAGTTACACAACAAAAGAGCACAGGAGGCAAGCATAGTAAAATTCGCCTGACTGGGATGACCGAGGGTACTGTTAAAGGTGAGAGACTTTTAATGTTTGTTATTTGAAAAATCAAAGTCTCCTAGATGTTTCAAAAGTGGGGAAAATATTCCGTCGTTATCAAGCTAAATCAAAAAGTTGGATGTCTGCAGAATTATTCGAGGAGTGGGTTAAAGGAATTGACTTAAAGTTTAGTTTTCAGAAAAGAAAAATTGCTTTAATTATAGTTAATTGTTCTGCTCATCATAACATGCAGAAACCTGATTGGGTGGAACTTATCTTTTGTCCACCGAATACAACCTCAATCACCCAACCTATGGATCATTATCTGATCTCTTAAAGCAAAATATCATTTACTTGCAGTGAAAAAGCAGATTGCTCCCTTAGAAAAAGAGAACAAGACGCATAAGTTTTCTATTTTAACTATTTATGCTAACAAAAGTGTGGAACTCTATTCCAGAGCAGACATTTATAAACAGTTTCAAAAAATCAGGAATATTATTAGAAGCAGTAGAAAAGCATATAAATGTTAATAACAATCCTTTCTGTGAGAGATGAAGAGGTTGTAATGGAAAACTTAAAAGACAGGCTTGGACAGGAATGGCATGCGATCGAGTGCTATTGCTGACCACACAAATGCTTTTATTTCTTGACAACTTGACCACGATTGTTTATATATTTTCATGATTTAAACATTTCAGAAATGTGCTGAATATAAAAATGCTAAGCTAAACTTAAACTATGAAAAAAGTTTAAAAAAAAACTAATGAAAAAAAAATTCTTTACGAAAAAGAAATTATATAAGCACTAAAATAAAAATAAAAATTAAAAACTTAAACTCGAAGCGAAACTTTTTGTTATGTTTTTAATTACATTTGAAATAAATCTTTTTAAACGTTTGATTAAAGTTACACCAAATGCTTTTAAATTAACAAATTACTACTAATGATTGTTTAATAAATGAACAAATTTTATCAAATTTATTAAAAAGTGTTGTATATGATATTTTTAAATTATATAAACATTTATTTTTTCAAAAAAGTTGCAAAAAAAAAATTGTTTAAAAAAATAATGTAGTCTTTTTAAAATAGTAATTTTTAATAATTTTATGCTCTAATTATGTCAATTAAAAAAAGGTTTTCAACTTTTTTATTTGTAAAAATAGGAAAAGAATAAATAAAATGCGCTTGCAATTTAAGTAATTTAAACTCTCGTCAAGCAATTTAATTTAGTTTTAATTTGAGTATTACAACTTTATTAATAAATGCTTCACAAACAAACAAAAAATATTTATTTAAAAGATTTTAAAAAACCGTAAGTTTAATTATAAAAACTAATCGTATGAGCATTACAAAATGCTTTAAAACTTTAACATAAACGTAACACTTTTTATTGCATTTAAATTGTTAAAACATCAAAATAGCCATGGTCAAGTTGTAAAGAAAAAAAAATTAGCGTTGTCAGTTACAGAGTGCAATCACACGCCATTCCTGTCCAAGCCTGAAAAGATGATCTTGAATTGTTAAAATCAAAATTTAAAGCAGATTTTAACCACACATCCGACGAGTTAGTAGCAAGCTGTAGAAAAGTTTAATTAAGATATGATTTTAGCAACAAAAGTAATTTGTAATGTCAAAAAAGCTGGAGTAATTTGTAATGTCTAGCAGTAAGTTAACCTGTTCAATTGGAATGGCAGAAAAAGCATAGCCATATGATTCAAGAGTCAAATTAGAAAAAAAGGCTTTTTGCAAATAGTTCTGCCTTATCCTTAGGAAAGGTAATAACATTAGGCCTTTGAATTAGAGATGGAATGCTAGACTTACCTTAATGAGACTTGAAGATTTTTCAAAGACCTCTAGAACTTTACTTCTGAGATAAGACTTGATATTTAGTAAACTGGGAATAATGGACCTTAGCATCAAACAGCATCTTTTACATGGATTTTTTGCAATAATAAATATCAACTGCTAAATAGGACATATCAGGTGTCAAATACTTTCCTTCAATAAGGTCTAAAAGAGATGTAACCACTGATTTGATGATATGGTAATTCACCAGCTGAGAATGCTGCGGGTGAAATACCATATCTTTTTGAAACATCTGCAGTATGACTAATTCACAAAACTTTTTGTTTAAATCTAAATCATAATCATAACAATATTTAACAACATTGTCATTTCTCTATCTTTTTTTTCCATTTCTAATTTCTTCTCAGCTCCAGACTTCCTCTCTCCTCTGCCTGGCAGGCATTTTAATATCATAGAAATCTATTTTGTTTTGTAACTATATAGCTATGATTTTCATAATATGAGTTTATATCCATTAGTTGCAACTAGTGTCAATATGGAGGTCCTTAATTCTTCAGATTTCTGCTACTAATCACAAAAAAATCATGGCTCTTGGTCCTTATAATATGCTAAATTAAAATTGAATATAAATGAATGACTCCTTCCCCCTCCCACCTTCATCAGAATATTGGACTTCTAATGAATTCTACTAAGTTTCGGGAAGTCATTTATCATCTTGCTGTTGTCAGCAATTGCTCTGAAAGAAGTGTTAAACTCAAAAAGATAACATTGAATTGTGAGGAAGATAAGAAAAAGGATTCACTGTTATTCCGGCACAACTACAAAAGTATGGATGAAAAAGCAAGACCACCAAACAACATCTATTTTTTAAATAAACAAGTCATTAACAATTTTGTTTAATGAAATTAATAGACATATCTAGTGTTTTTTTTTAATATGACTTTTTTAATATATATATATATATATATATATATATATATATATATATATATATATATATATATATATATATATATATATATATATATATATATATATATATATATATATATATATATATATATATATATATATATATATATATATCCCCCCTTCCAAAAAAAAAATAATATTTTCCTAATTTTGTAAAAAATTATTTTAAAGTCATTTTGAGGGCAATGATAAATGTATACTTTATTTCTAAATTTTTGGTACTTGGGGTAGGCTTTCCCTTAAAAATATATTTTCTTTTTGCCAACTCAATTTCTGAAAATTTGTATAGACAACCACTTGTTGTAAACGTCAAATCAATGGTACATAAAATATGATTTGATGGGACCCAACACATATCTTCTGGTGCAGGCCAAGAAAAACTAGGACTGGGACCATATGGATGCATAAATTGAATTTTATAATCTCCTTCTCCTTCATCTTTTTTGTTTATAATTCCAATCCACCAAAAGCTGTCATACTTGCAAGCTGCATAGCCTTTATATATTTTAAGAAAAAAAAAAAAGTGGGGGGATTTGGTAATATGCATAATTGTAACACCCCCCCAACCCAACCCAACCTAGCTGGCCTCCTAAAGCTTGATGGAAAAATTTTAACAAAACAATCTTAATTTTATTAGCATAACAAAATTAGAAAAATAAATTTTTTTTTCTGGGAGGGCAGGGGGGAAGCCTACCCCAGGTACCAAAAATTTAGAAATAAAGTGTACATTTATCATTGCCCTCAAAATGACTTTAAAAATAACTTTTTACAAAATCAGGAAAATATTTTTTTTTTGGAAGGGCAGGGGGATGGGGGGGAATGACCCATATATATATATATATATATATATATATATATATATATATATATATATATATATATATATATATATATATATATATATATATATATATATATATATATATATATATATATAGACACACACACACACATATACACATAAATTAAACTTTTTAATTTTAACAAAGATGTTCAGTGTTTGAAAAAAAAAATTTTCCTAATTTTATAAACACTTTTTTACTGTTTATATGGGCTAAAAATGGGTTGAGACTCCCTCCCCCTTAATTTTACCATTTTTCCTAGTTATGACTTTAAGCACTTTTGTTGGATTTTTAAAAAAACATTTTGATTCCTACAAGAAAAATACTCTTGAATAAATAAGGCTTCATTTGAGCAAAACAACATAAAACTTTTCAGTCTCTTTGGCCACCTGTGTAATCTGACTTTCCATAAATCTTATTATTATTACTTATTATTGAAAAATATTTTTATCTTATACTTACGATGCTTAAGTTTTTTTCCATAAACTTCATTAATCCCTGGCCCATTACGTATTAAACTTCCATGAATATCGAGAGGAATTTTTCCTTCAATATCACAGTCTGGTATCCAGTATGATTTTTCATCTTGGCTTTCCCACCCTCGAGACATTGTGTGTGTGTTATAGTATTAATATACTTAACTACAAAAAAAAATTGTTTCATCACTAAAATTTCATTACTACACTACATTAATATGCTATTACTATACATAGTAATATTATGCCATATTTCAATAAATATATATAATATATATATATATATATATATATATATATATATATATATATATATATATATATATATATATATATATATATATATATATATATATATATATTTACTCATCATCAGTTTTTAACTGTTTGTAAAGTATTGTATATATATATATATATATATATTTATATATATATATATATATATATATATATATATATATAAATATATATATATATATACAATAGTTTGTCCCTCACTATTGTATATATATATATATATATATATATATATATATATATATATATATATATATATATATATATATATATATATATATATATATATATATATATATATATATATATATATATATATATATATACAATAGTGAGGGACATTTACAAACAGTTAAAAACTGATGATGAGTAAATATATATATATATATATATATATATATATATATATATATATATATATATATATATATATATATATATATATATAAATATATATATATATATATATATATATATATATATATATATATATATATATATATATATATATATATATATATGTATATAAATATATATATATATATATATATATATATATATATATATATATATATATATATATTTACATAGTTTAAAAAAAAGCTATTATAATTATATTTAACATTGGTAGATTTTACAAATTTATTATACAAACTAAGTTACAGTAAAATACTGAACTATATAAACCGATGATAGTGATCTTCTAACACATGTAGATTATGATAACCTACATGTGTTAAAAGATCACTATCATCGGTTTAAATAGTTCAGTATTTTACTGTAACTTAATTTGTATAATAAATTTGTAAAATCTACCAATATTAAATAAAGTTAAATAAATAAACACATTGTCTTTATTTATATTTTTAATTACAAAATCTTAATTTTTATTAATAAAATAGTAAACAAACACATGACGAAGAAAAATATTCTGTGACGCAAATTAATTTTCTAAAATGATCAACAATAAGCTCCCGTTAAGTTCGGTGACGCTACCTAAAAACGAGTAAGCTCTGTCACGGAGGACAGAGTAAGTGTCACGCAACTCCGTTTAATAAAGCTCCTCGGTGTCACATAAATAGTCTTCCATAAATGACCACCGCTCTGAGGAAAAGGGATTAGTGGTTTTTATTAAAGCTTGTTGGTGTTAAGTAAAGGGTCGTCCATAAATTATGTCAAGCTCTGGGAAGCGGGGCAGAAGGAATTAGTGGTTTGTTGACAACTCGTACGGGATTTATTACTAAAGAGTTACGACGTCGAGACAAGGAGGGGAAAGGGATCAAAATAAACATCGTGTTCTTGACCAAATCCTTTGCGTAATAATGAATGAAAAACTTGGAGCAAACAACATATCGTCCAATATCGAATATCTGTTTATCCCGGAGCTTTCAAAGAACTACGAACAGCTCAGAAAGAATTTCAAGATTGGTAAAAAAGTGATTACTGAAACAGCAGGATGGTGTGAAAATATGAAATTTCTATTTCGTTCAATTCCACTTTTTTGAAGAGTCTATTTTATTTTCCTAAGTAAAGTTTCAGAAAATAAGTTAAATAATGCAAGATGGAACCCCCAACCAATAACCGCTTTTTTGGCAACTTTTCTTCCACCAAATATAAGAGACTACTCGATATTTGTAGATTTATCTCTAAAAATAGGGCGGACCATAGGTTTCTTTCCAAAAGTACAATGTAGATAACTATCTGAAGCTATATAGCAACTTGTACCGTCATGAAAGCGTTAAACTCAGTGAAAAAGTTAAAGAATCAGGAGCCATTAAGATTAAATACCCATTTTTAAATACCTAGAAGTTTTTGTAGATAAAAATTTATCTTGGTTTTCTCACATAAAATACATCGAATCAAAAATAAACAAAACAATTGGCATAATGTACAGAATGAGCCCATTCATAAATACTCAAAGTCTTAAACTAATACACTTTAACTTAATTCATAGCTACATTAATTATTGTAACATTGCGTGGGCTTGCATACAACCTGCTAAACTTAAAAAGATGTTTAGTGTGCAAAAACATGGTAGCGCAATTATAACCAAAAAAAAAAAATAGATTTGAGCATGGAAAGCGATTAATGAGGGAAATATTGAATGTATATGAGATAAACAGATTTCAACACATGATTTTCATGTACAATCATTATAAAAATTTTATACCAAATAACTTTGAAACAAAATTTAAAATAAATCAAAACAATAACTATTCTCTAAGATCAAATGAGAGGCTTACATATACACTGCCTCATAAATTAATTAAATATACCGAGGACCTAAGATATGGAACAGCTCTAAAAATAGCCATTTCAATATGGTGAAATCAGTAAATTTATTTAACTTTCATATAAAAAAAGAAATTTTGAAGTCAAATGAAAGCTTTGAAACTTGATTTACAAAACCTTTTTGATAAACCTTTTTGTTAAACTTAATTTCTTATATTATGCTTTATTTTTTTATTCAACTTATTTATACTTATAGGAGTTGATTCTATTTATGGTCTTTTACTCTACAGGGCCGACGACACGGGTTTTGGAGTGGGGGTGTGGGGGGGTGGGTGGGTGGGGCTGGGCACAATCATCAATTTGTGGAAAAAGTCCTCTATATCATGATTTTTCTTTCAAAAAAAAAAAAAGGTTCTTTAGAAAAAAAAAAGGGGGGGCAGACACGCAAGGGCAACGACACCCCTGGCTCCCGCGGTGTCGTCGCCCTTGCTATAAATATATAAAGAAGATGCTAATTTTTTCACACGGGCTCTATAAAAAGATTGTCACAATCTTTTCATAGAACTCGTGTGAAAAAATTATGAAAAATATGACTTTCGGTCATCCATATCTTCGTTGAGTCTTTGTCTGTTTATATAAATTGTTTTTTTTATTTTTTTATTTTAATGAAACGTTTCTTCGTATTTTTTTTTTTAATTGTATGAGCAGCTAAATATATGTTAAAAAAAAAATCCAGAAAAATATTTGACTTGGGCAGTCCCAGTGGGCAAGGAATGTAAAAAAGACGTCTTTTAACGTATTTTAAACAACTTTTGCAAGTTTTGGACGTCTTTTGAATGTACAAAAAATATCTCTTTTAGGTCTCGTGCCCACTGAGGTTTTATCTAATAAGGGACAATATAAGGAATAAATTTTTATATCATACGACTACTTAAAAATAAGTAAATGTGTTTTTTTCCAAAAATATCAGCACGAAGAAGATAACAATAAACAAATCAATACATAATGCCATTAATTTCAATGGGACTTACCTCCTCTAAAAGTGAAAACAATGTGTTTTACGTGACCTTCAACCCTTATGTTCCGTTTCTAATGAACTGCTTTTATTGAGTCGTTTGATTCGACAATTCGAAAAACGGAATTACGAAAAAACCATACATGTTTTCTGTCATTATAAAGTAACAAAATTCTCAAATATCAAGTGTAAGCCAGAATTCTTTAAATACTTTAAATTTAAATACTATAAATGCTATAAAGTCAAATCTGGGAAAAAATTTCCAAGAAAAAAATTCCTTGGGAAAAAAAACATCGTGAGAAATCCACCTCCTCAAAAAAAATAATGATAATAACAAGCCTTTTTTCCATGAAATTAACAATGAAAAATTCTAAAATAATAAAATTTCTAAATATAGCCTTTAACAAGGAAACGCTAAAAAACTTTTTAGAGTCGCAAAATAGCTGGAAAAGTTAAGTTGGGGCTATCAATTATGTCATTAATTTTTTAGCGATTTTACCTCCCCCTCCCCGTTGTCAACAACTTGTCGAACTTCCAAAGACTTTCCCTTCTCCCTATAAAGTTGAATCAACATTTGATGTTAAAGTTTATTTAATGCCTTAAACTGCCAAACTGAATCTACTATTTTTAAGCAGAGCTAAACAAGCAATATTAATAAAACTCATAAATGGGGTCGTTCATAAATTACGTCACGCATATTATGGCCTTTTTTCACTCACGCCCCTCCTCCCACGCCCTTGTTACAAATTCGTAACTCTTGGGTAACAAGTTGTCACAAAACCACTAATTTTGTTTTCGAGTTTTTTAACGAGTTTTCCTTTTGAACTATTGTGCAAACTTTTTATAAAATTTAAAAAGCTTTTGATTTATTTCAAACTATTTCTACATTTTTTAAGGACCAAAACTTCCTGAAACATATTTCATTATTATTATTAAATTTTTAAAAAACAGCATTCAAATTAAAACGCAAGGAAGTTCAGTTTTAAACTTTTCAAATTTTACCCGCTTTTCTTTATATTACATTTCGTATAACTTTACCTTATAAGACCACATTTACAAACAATAACATTTTTTAAAAGGAGATATTTTGGACGCGTAGTTAATAAATCTATAGTAAACATATATAAATTTGTATGTATATTTTCCATTTGTTTTAAAATATTTACACAAAATAAGATGGTCATGTTCTATCATTTTTATTAGCCGGCTACCGGGTAATTAGTAATATTCACATGCAAAAAATGGCGGTTATTTGTATATTTATTTAAACATTTTTTTTAGTAATAACTATTACATATGTTGCATTTAATGTAAGTAAACATAAAATAAAATAATTTTTTAATATTTTTATTTGGAACCGACGTGGTAATTTGTAAATAGCATGTTTATTTCTATATAAGTATTATTTATATGTAAAATACAAAATGCCAAACTAATTTACCTTTAGAAAATAATGACAAGTTCAGCTACAAATACGGCAGCGACAGCGACAACAAAACAATATGGAATAACTTCACCTATAAATTTGTCAGGTCCTAAAGAAATTGTAAGAATGCTGCGTTTTTTTGTTTACTGAGTTATTTTAAATAATTCTAATTGCATATTCTCTTTTTATATAATGCTTATTATATGCATGCTTTATAATTAATCTATTTATATATATGAAACATAGTTATTACCTTTATTATATACAACCATTTAGCCAAAATGTGTTCTTATACAAAAAAATCTATTTCAAAATATTTCTAATCCTCAAATAATTTGAGTGATTGATTACCGCTATCAATATCAGTTGGAGTTAGCGGTCAGTACACCAATTACAATATCATCAATTAGAAGAAGATAATAATATTCCTAGCTTCATAGTGGTTTGAATTGTTTTGGGTCGAATGCTGAAAAGACTGAAATGTTCTTGATTTCAAGTAAAGCACAGATATAAAGTAATACAATAACCATTTCTGGTATTTTAAAAAGATCTTTAGAATTAACTAAAACACTTACGGTTCATATGCAATACCGAACATTTAATTTTTGCATGACTCAGTTGTTCAAATGTGGATGAAAAAGTCTCAAACTTTAGAGCTGTTGAACAAACTCTTATTCAATCTGGATTCTGGAAAAACTTGTATTCAATCTAGATATCGCTTCCATTAAGGCAAAAAAAATTAAATGTATGCTTTATGAATATTTTTAATGCAGTGTTATAAGTTATATCATGTTTACAAGTAACTTAATATTTTATTATAAATAAAAACGAACACATTGCAAGAGCTATATTGCTTTAAGTGTAAATTCAAGCAAAAAAATTAATAATATTAAAAAAAGAAATTTTTCAGTTTTTTTTCATCATAAAAAAATAAACTTTTTATAAGATGTTGTTTAAAGTTTGTAATAATTAATGTTTTTTCATTTTTTTAATAAAATAATAAAAAAAAAATGTTATAAAATCATTATAACAAAACAAACAAAATATAAAATGTCAAAAGTGGTGCTAATATAAAATAAAAATTTAATATATACTATTTTTCAGCTACTATTTTTTATTGTTATGAGAAATCGCCTAAATAAATTATGAGAAATTACGAAAATTAAATAAATTGCCTGAATAAATATTTTTGCTTTTGCAAGATGATTAATAAAAACTTTTTTATTATGCTTGTTTTATGATTTCTTTTTTTTACGCGCCTATAACATCTTTTTTTCTTTACATTTTTGATGGAAAAGTTAGGTTAATAAAAATAAAATTTTCTTTGTTTTTTCTTAAGTTATTACATTTGAAAGTAGCGCAAATATCAAATGTAATTGTCATGCAAACTTTTTTATGTAATCTTCATTCAAACTTCATATATTTTATAATGTTACTTACTGCGTATGTAAAATGGTTTACGACACGTAAATGGCTTGCCAGTTTATGCTTAAAAACAAGGCTTGAGGATTGTTTTTCTCCAAAATTAGATTTTAATGAATAGATTAAATTTTATAATTTTTGTATAAATATATTAACTTAACAGTATATAATAATAAGTTTTTTTTCCTTAAAAAATGCAATCTTATATAAAAAGATATGGCATTGTTATTTCTGTATTTTTATAATGGTATTAAAAAATTACTAGTAATCTGCAGTTTTCACTGTAAACTTCAGATTGCATTTATCACATATCTTTTGGGAAAAACAAGAAGTGATATGTATATGGTGTTTTGCTAATGATTTTTAATAATAGTATTTTATGTAAATATTACGTGTATGAATATAAATAGTATCAGATTTCTATATTTGTCTTATTTGATAATAAAACAAGAAATAAAAAACTGTCAATTCCAGATCTTTTTTTTCTCTCACTAAACAGCAATATTGTTAACTGAATTTGCTAAAATATAAATAAAAAAATTAGCACCAGAAAAGAAAAATACAAAAAGTTATTGTCTGGTTACAACTTCAAGATTTGCAAATTACTTTGAATTTGCAAATCTTGAAGCCTTTTTTACCAGATAATAGTTTTTTGTAGTAATTTACAGACAAGCTTAATATCTTTCTGAAAAGATACTGCAATGCCCCAACCCAAACCCTTTTGCTATGTAGCAGGTTTTACTTGCATATTATGCCTACATAATCAGTCAATATATGTACTAAAAGAAGATCACACAGATACCTATTTTAGTATGATATCACTGTGTATCTAATGCTGCATTCATATGTATATATGTATATATGTAAATATTTATATATAAATATCATCATAATCAACATGGTCATCATACCATCATGGCCATCATAATCATGATCGTCATTATTATTAAGCATTAATCTTGATAATGATAATGATTATGATGATCATGATCATCATTATCATCATTTTGTGCTGTTTCTCTAATATAAACAATCTTGAGCATCTTTTTTCCTTAACTAAAGCATTTATACCATATGTAACGCACTCTCTCCAAGTTTTTTTACTTTTAACTCTACCTTTTTTTGCTGCTACTTCTGCTGCTAATAAATCATTATCTAAATAAATAGCAAATATATATGTTTATATGCATATATATATATATATATATATATATATATATATATATATATATATATATATGTATATATATATATATATATATATATATATATATATATATATATATCTCCATATTTTTTACGCATAAATGTGCCTTTTATTTAACCTACTGAATTCAAGTCGGTAAGGAAGCTTTTATTTTTTCCGTTTGGTTTTAAATTAGGCCTCATTTTACTCATGACCTCTCTAACTATCTTTTGATTAGTCTTTTCTCAGTTATTATATTCTTTACATAAAAGTTTCAAGATTAGTAAACCATTTATTTCTAACTGCAGTATTAAGTCATTCTCGAAGGTCTTCACTCTTCTTCATTTCTAGTAACTTTAAGGGTGCTACAAGGTTCTATCCTTGCTCCTGTATTATTTCTTCTTTTTCTGACAATCGAAGATCTAAAGTGACTCTACTTGCTGGCAACTCATTTTTATACTCTAACAGAAAACTTGACAAAAATTTTTCACTTTTTGATTGCTAAGAACATGCACCAGAGCTTTAATCTAATCTCTCATCTGTAACAGCTTTGTGTTTGCAGTGGTTATTTATTGAAAACAACTATAGCAATATTGTTGACATTTTTATATTGACAAATAACAACCCTCTCACTCTCAGACAAGGTCCAAATGCACATTGTAAATGTAGTTGTACAAGTTTTATCTGTCAAGCTTAATCTAGTCTCCCATTGTCATAAGGTTGCATCTCTTTCTTTTTCCTACAAATATTATCATAGTTGCTGTTCAAACAAGCTATCACCTCTAGTTAGATAAACCAAAACTCAATCTCGCTTTGCTTATCATTCAGCAAAATTGCATCCTATTACAGTATTTGTACCTCATTCTATAAAGTTTTTTATTGTTTCACTCACTTTTATAAATATTTTTTGATATTTTGCTGAATTTTTGTGGTTTTTTTGATGCTGATCAAAATAGATCAGCATAAAAAAAAAAGAATCAAAAGTATAATAAATTAATTTGTTTTAAGTAAGTAATTAAAATATAAAGTAAACTACTAAATAAAAGCTAGAAATAAAATAAAAGCTAAAAACAGAATAAAGTGCAAAGAAATATTTAATTTCTGATGTAAAGTAAATTTAATAAAAAGTTGCCAACAGATTTTGGATTTCGTGTTATAATCTTCATTTAGAGTCCTCTTGCCACTTCCCAATTTTTAGCCAACTCTGGCTCTTTTGTTTTGGAATGTTTAGCATATCTTAATCTTTTAACTTTATTTAGTTGGCATAGTAATGTTTTTTTTTTGGCAGCAACACATCCTTTTAAGCCATAATTGCAAAGGTATTTTATGGTTGAAAAAGAAACTGGTGTTTCCAGCATGAAATTAAGTTCTTGGCAAATTTCAGGAGCAGTTCGACTACAATTTCTTTTACTTTGAACACAGATAAATTTTTCAATATGATTCAGCATTGCTTAAAGCCTCCCCAAATGATAGCAACTCTGATTACAACCAGTTTCGCTCTTTTTTTGCAACACCCTCATGACTGCATTTTAAAGCAGTTTTCCGTGTTGAATAACCTTGTGTAGCAGCAAATTTATCTACACTCTGCTTTGCTTTTTTATCCATTTTTCTTCAAATAAAACATAAAGTTTTTGCAAGTTTTAATTCTATGACAAAATTCTTTAAATTATTTGAATGTGCATAACAATTATTCAATATTTAACACTAACAATGTTTCAATATAAAAATACCTTAACCTTTTTGTATAAAAAATACTTTAAAACATGACAGTGAAAAAAAAAGTTAATATTACAATAGAATAACTCCAATTATTACAGCAAAATATACCCAACTTTAATAGCTGTATACCCAAAGTATTCATCATTGTATATTATGATAAACATATTCTCTACATGTCTTCCCAGGAAGTGTGTGTGGTTGCACGCCTTGTTCATCTATGTTTAAAGTAATTTTTTAAGACATCTTGACCACATTTTTATTTAGTAAACATTAACAAAATTTGCTGCAAAATAAAGCTATAAGAAAATACAGAGAATAAAACAGAAATACTCGAATAAAGGAAACAAATACTATATAAAATAGAAAATGTTAATAAAATAAACTAAAAAAAAAATTGAAAATTAGAAAAAGAAAAGTTTAGTCAAAAAAAATAATATACCTAAATATTTTATTGTTTTTTTTTTTAAGGGTGTTAGTAAGTCAAGAAAAAAAGCAGATAAAAATATTAAAAAAATAAAACATTTTTTGATATACAATTAATTTGTGACTTTTATCAGTCAGTATATTGAGGAATTACTCTATTATTTGCGCTAGAAATATGGACAATTTTTAAATTTATTTTTCAAATGTTTTTGCTAAGCTTTTCTGTTTTAATCAAAGCACAGGACAGCAAGAAAAACAATTGCTATTTATTTGTAAAAAAAAAAATTAAAAATTTCTTAAAAAGTTTTATATGTAAAAAATAAAATGTCATTAATACTAATATTCAAGAAGACATTCCAAAAGCTTGTGGGCTAGTGCATTGTTTACTGAACTTTTTTAACGAAATTTTTTGGAGCCTATTTAAAACTTTTTTTAAGTTTTTAAATACATTTTTTCAAATAGAGCAATCGTTATGTTTATTATCTTTAGTAATTCGTATTAACCTTGGAAATTGGGCAATCTAAAGAAAACAATTTCAGACAGGCATCAAGTGTGGTAAATACATTTATAAAAAAAAACCATGCTATTCTTTTATTTAATTTTTTCTGTCATTACAAAATTTATTAATCAAATAATATAATTTACAAATAAATAATTCCTATTGTATAAGTATTGAGAAAATATGTAATATACAGCAAAAACATTTTTAAAAGAGGAAAGGCATGAAAATGAATAAATGTAATAAAAAAAAATTAACAAAATTTCTCTTTCTAGTGTACATATCAAATAAGTTTTTAATGATACGGAATGATAAAAATCAAAACTTTCAATTATTGTTAAATTGCTATAAAATGTTATTTTCCCTCAACTTGTATTAAATTAAGTAGCTAAAAATAACAACCCCCCTTAAAAAAAAATAGAAAAGTTGTATAAAAATTTTATAAAAAAGTTTTTTTTTTAATTTTCTTTTTTTAATTATTAAATTTTTCTTGTTTACTTAAATTAAAATGTAATATTTTGTTACAATTTTGTTTCCTTTTTTTAGTATTGTTTTTTGTTTTTTTTTTCGGTTCAGGGTTATTAAAGCAAAAAACATAAAAGCAAAAAAATTACTGTTTTCTATTAGCATACTTTAAATATTAGATAAAAACTTTTAAAAAAATGAAAAGAATATATATTCAAATATATTTGAAGCAGCTGATAATATTGAGTTTTTAATAGATTATTAATTTAAATAAAAAGTTAATTTAATGCAACATTTTGAAAATTGTTGAAAAAAAATAATAAAGGAGGTATTCAGTTTAACATCTATTTGCTTTTAAACTTTTTTGCTTTAGTTTCTTAATTCCTTTTTTTCCTCAATAAAAAAAAGTTTAGCATTTTGCTGCGAATTATTAAAACACTTTAAAAGTTAAAAGATAGGAACTGTTGTGGTCAGTGTGTCTAAAAAAGTTACTTTACACATGGACAAAGAAGGCGTGCATCCTCACGCCCTTCCTGGGAATGCTTGCTCTATGTTCACAAATAGGTGTGTGAATTTCTTTTTAATGAAAATGCATAATAAATTTGTAAAATTATTGTTAAGCTAGTGTAGTAACTTTGATCGAAAAACATTTTTTTTAGCTAGATAAAACAGTTAATTCCCAGTAAGTTTAACTCAAACTTTTGTTATCTCGAACTGTTTTATGTATACCTTTGAAAGCAAGAATAATTGTTTCAGATCTCTTAAGTCGAACATTTGTTTAGTCGAATCATTTTCCTTGGTACCTTGGAGGTTCAAATTAACAGGAATTTACTTTTGTATTTATGCAATGTAGATATATAAAATTATGTTTTATGTCAGGTTTTGCTTTATTGTTAACTTTACATGATAATGTTTTTAGGATGAAGAACTCACAAAATCTCTGGAAGAAACATTGAAAGATTATGGGGTCTTTGAGACACAAGAGCAAATCCAACACAGGTAGTTACATTTTAGTTAAAGGTAAATAAATTATAATTCTGAATACTATTTACAATGACACTTCAAATTTTATATTTAATATACAGGATGGTTGTTTTGGGAAAACTGAACAAACTAGCTTTAGAATGGATTGTTAAAACGTCAATCGCTAAGGTTTATTATAATACATTTTTAAAATTATTTTTTAAGCATAAAATTTACAAAACTCTGAAAGAGTGACTCAATTATTAAATATATATATATACGTAATAAATAGCCAATGAAACAAGTTAATTAAATTTTATAAAATCATGTTTCTAATGATGACTTTTTTGTTTTTATATAAATTTTATAAATTTAGACTTATACTTAAAAAAATAATTTGATTTCACAAAAAAAAAAAAAAAAAAAAAAAAAACAATTAGTCATTATCTCTTAATCAAACCATAATATTTTCAGAAATTTTTTGCTGATAAGCTTATTCTTATTGTGAATTATAAACAAATAACAACAATCTTATAGCAATTTTTTATTTTAAAATACAATGTAAATAACAATGGTTGCATGTTGATTTTTAATATCTTTAAAGGGATCCCCAACTGCCGAGATAAGTTGTAATTATAATTAAATTATAAGTAAATTATAATTTTTAATTATAATTAAATTATAAGTAAATTATAATTTTTTTTTTACTTGCTTTGTTATTACTTTCTTTTAAAAGCAAGCCAAAATCATGAAACAATTATATTTTGTGATTATTAGAGTTCGCAGGCAGAGAAAAAATAAAGGCAGTATGATGCTGTTTCTCGTTTTATATTTAGTTCATATAGTTTAATAGAGTTTTTTAATTTGTGTTTAAATTACATTTAGTTATGGTTTAACTCTTTCACTACCGCAAGCCACTGGTAGCGGCTTTCAAGTATGCTTTACAATTTATCTTTTTTTGTACATATGCGGTAGTATATGTACATTATGCGGTAGTGGTGTAGTGGTAAAACACTCGCTTCATTAGCCAGAGGTTCCAAGTTCGATCCCCACTACGTCCCTGATAGTACCTTGCTCAACTTGTTTCTCCGTGTAGCAGCCTTGTTCATCAAGGTTCGTGTTTTGGAGTTATAGAGTTAAGAGAGGATTACAACCACTAATGAGTAGCCTCCTCGTCTGCAGTGACCTTCTCGGCCTTGAGGAGGTGAATAACCAAAAAAAAACAACAAAAAAAACATAAATTTTCATTCTAGACACATAATTTGTTTGTTCTAAAGGTTTAATTAATTCTCTACATAATCAAGAAAAAATAAGGGCTATATTGTGCAATTATGAAAAAGTTATCACAAAGTTAAAAAATCTTGAATAATCCTTCTTAAAAAAAACCTTAAAATTAGTTATAAAATAAAACAGTGTTAACACTGTAAAACTTAACTTGTAGAAGTGTTAAGTATTTAGTTAAGTAATTACCAAATTATTTTGAAAAAAATATATTATTTTTGTTCATTAAATGAGGTTTGTTTTGGACTTGTTTTAATTTTGGACATGTTTTAGTTAACTAGTTACTACTTATAAAAACAATAGTTTTAAGCACTTTGCATTTCTTATTGTTTAATGATGCATGTTAAAAACTATTATTATCAAATTTTAAAAAATTGTCAAATGTTATTCAAAAAAATGTGCAGTTGCTACAAAAAGATTTTTGTTTGGCTGGTAGCGAACAATTTAATGCGATTCTTTGTTTTTATATTTATATTATAACTATTTTTTATATATTTTAGTACAAATATTTGTTTTAACTTTAATTTGATTTATTTTAAACAGTTATTAATAAAATAATTTGTTTAATATTTATTTTCTATTTAGTTCAGTTTATGTGTTTTATTCAAGTCACTTGTTTTTTATTCAGTTTATACTTAAAAATAATTTATACGTTTTAGTAAAATTATTCTTTTACTAAAGCGTACTTTTATCTAGTTTATATTTAGTTTAAACTAGTACGTTCACTGAAAATATTCATTATATATTAAATTTTTATTTTTATAGATTTTATAAATTTAATTCTTAATATCATCATAAACTTTTTTTGGGGATTTAGTAAATAGTTATACAATTAACACGATTTGGTGATTGTGGCAAAAAAAAAAAAAAAATAGTACGACATCTTGAAAGAAAAAATTTATATGATGACATCATATACCGAAACTGTTATGAATTAAACACGCATGGAATAAATTATCAAGTCTGCAGATTGTGGCTTACATTATACAGACTCTGAGAATAAATAAAAAAATGGAGACGGCGAGCTAAAACGTGAATTTTAAATTTAATGGTGTGCATTCATTATATAGTTTTAATCAAAAAAATTAAGCCCAAATGTTTTTTTTAAACATTTTCTTTAACATGAACACAGCTTGTCTCAGCAGTTGGGAATCCCTTCAACTATTCTAAAAACGATGGATTTATAATTAAACAATTTTGATTTTCAAACGACAACTTTTTCATAAAAGAGTATATATGCACTCATTATCAAGTATGATTTATATATTTTTTACAAGTTATTATTTATTTAAATTTTAAAACTATTAAAACAAAAAGCTAGTACAAATCAATGCAGTAATTTTCTCTGGAGTAATAATGGAAACACTGAAACACTTCCAAAACTAAGTTGTAACCTTATCTCTGTTATCCTGATTCAGACAGCCATCTAAAGGTGCACATTTATGAAATATCTCTTTAATCCCTTTCACAATAAAGTAAAAAACATTCTCAAAGTAGAAGTTAACGATTTCAACTGAAAAGTGAGAGAGGCATTAGATGTGTCTTGAATGGATTTAGGCTGCAATCTAAATCAGAATGGCAAAGGTTATATGATTACTTCGCTTTGAAAATAAATATGATATTTGTTACTTGAGTGATTTTTTTTTTGTTTGAACAGTTTTTATATCATATTATAACTAATGTATCTATAGTCTCTTATAAAAAAGCAAATTAAATTTTTTTTTTCTTCCCTCATCAATGTTGTGTTTATAACCAGAGTAAGAACTGAACCTCAGATATATTAGTTCTACTCCATGTGACCTAAACTTTTTCACATATTGGAAATTATGCAAAAAAAAATTTAAATGCACTTAATATGGTATGCACATAGTTATATTTACCAAAGAAGAATGTAAACTAATAAATTATTTCAGATGTTTTATCAGGAAATAGATTTTATAACTTGTTTTACCTGAATTTTGATCCCATTTTTATAGAATTGTATAATAATATTTAGAATATGCCAGAGTCTGTTGCAAATTCTGTTGGAGGCAAAATTTTTACATTTGGATCATTTCGTCTTGGAGTTCACACCAAAGGTAAAAAAATTTCATTAGACTTTCAATAGTAGATCAATTGTAACCTATTAAAATTATTACTTATAAATTAATATTATATTGTAATACTATTAGCTTAATATTAAACAAATTTATTTGCAACAGTTAACAAGCTAAAGTGATGATTTTGTTACAATTAAAAGTAATTTTTTTGCTACTTAATATATAAAATTGTTTATTTTAAAATAGGCGTGTTGACACAACACCATTTTAAAGTAATCGACGTTATTTTTAAATATGCATGTTGATGCAACATTTTTTAGAGTAATAAATGTTATTTTAAAATAAGAGTTTGACGCAACATGTTTTTTAGATTAAAAGTAATAGTAATACAAACTGCTGTAACTATAATAGTAATATAAACTGTGACAACTATTGTCACAGAGCATAAAGTTTGAAATTTATACTTTAACAGCTGTAAACAAATGTTTATCTAGTCTAGCTTAAAAAAAATTTGCTGTCTTTAAAGATACCACATTTTCAAGTAAGGCATTCCATTGAGGTATCACTCTGTAAAAAATATGTCTCAGGGTCGTTTTTGAGAATTCCCTTTCAAATTTTATTGAATGACCACTTAGACTTTAGGAAGAAGCTTTATGAAGCTCTTTATACCACCATATCTTATCAATCCCAGTTTTTATTTTTAAAAACTCAATAAAATCACCTCCTATACGTCTTTTTTCCAGTATAACTTTTATGTTTTAGTTCAAGTGCTAATTTTGTTGCTTGTCTTTAAACTTTTTCCAGGTCATTAATATTTTTGTTATTACTTAAACGTCATACTGGAGCTGCGAATTCTAGGTGTGTTCTAACCATTGATGTGTTTAACTGCCTTACCATTTCAGTTTTAAGATAAGTAAAGCTTTTTCTGGTTAAGCATAAGATTCTTTGTGCTTTACATGTAGCTCACTACTTGATGATTCTATTTCATATTGCATGAAACGATTACACTTAAGTCTAATTCTTCTATTGTTGTTTTTAGAGGAAATCTTTGATTGCCTTGTTTCATTGTTTTAGTTAATATTTTTTCTTCCGATGTGCATAACACTGCATTTACTTTATTGCATTAACTATAAATTTGACCATTCAGTCAACAAATCAGTGTCATTTTGCATATTAATTAAATCATTATCTTGTTTTATAAGTAGATAGTTATATATACTTATAAAACATATAGTTTTGCAATTGTAGAGATACATTTAGGAAGATAGTTGATATATAATAAAAAGACAAGAGCACCTTATTCAGAACCTTGTGGTACACTACAAATCTTGCACCACTTTTATATAACTTCACTTATTACCACTCTTAGTTTTCTGTCTTTTTAAAAAAGTCTCAATCCAATTTAAAGTATGTATAAAGTGTCAATACATATTAATGTTATTTTAATATAGGCTAAGTGTTTTTTTTTTTCTTGTTTTTTTTTTTGTTGAAATTCAATTTTATTAATTTGAATATATAAAATTTTTAGTTGAATTATTATAAAATAATAAAATGGTTGAATTATTATTATTCAACCATTTTATTATAGTTTATTAAAAAACTATTTTTTATAGTTTATAATTTAATTTTAATTTTATTGCATGTATAGACATAAAATTTAGTCACTTAAATTTTAGCATAAATTAGAATTTGAAAATTTTGATTTCTAGTTGGTAACAAATTAAGAGTATGAAACACCTGTACTCTATTTTGTTACAAAATTAAATTAAATAAAAAGATTAAATATTAAACACTATTTTATTTTCTCAAAACTGAGGTTTTTCCCAAACAGAGGTTCAGGAAGTTTTTATTTGAAAATATTGTTTAAAAATCTGGTTTTATTTTCCAAAAAAAAAAAAAATGATTTTAATTAAAATTAAATTTTATTGCTGGTTACATTTTTTGTGATATAAATGCATTTTTAAAAATGTTTTTAATAAAAATGTTTTCTAAATAAACATCACAAGGCTCAAATTAATCATATGGCTTTCCAAATTAGGAAAAAGCATATGATAAATTAGTTGTGTAAAAAGTGCAAAAAGCATAAGGTTAATAAAATTAATCGTATGTTTTTGCACTTTTGCGATTAGTATTTTATTTAACAAAAAATTCTAATTTAGCTTTTTTTTGTGGCCATTCTTGAAAATATAGAATAAATATTTTTGTCAAGTTTATCACACTAAATTTATTAAAAAATTTATTTACAATTACAAAATTAAGTACAAAAGACACTGTTTTCTACTGGCGTACCCCTCCCCCTCATCCTACTGCAAATTGGGCAGGCAGAGGGAATTTCAAATTAAAGATTCAAAAAGTTGTTGCAATTATTATTATTAATTTTTTTTTGCGTTAATTCGAGCCCTGCATCACATAACAATTTCAAGTTTTAACATTACAACAGATATAAATAAAGTTAGCATTATGCTTATGTTTTTGTATGTGATGTGTGTGCAGTTTAATGCTTCTTAACAAGGCTTGAAACAACATATTAGACCGTCCCCTATTGTAAAATTGCAAGTTATTCAAAACAGTAAAGATCCAAAATTTTTAGCTATTTTGGCTTTTTTTTTTTGTATTTAATTAGAGTAGGCAGATTTTATCAAGGAAAAAAAAAATTCAGTTTTCCCAAAATTTATAAGAACATCCCTACTTTTTTTTTTACATTCTGCCTAACCCCTCCCTAACTGCCTATGGGTACTTACTGTATGGATGCTTCCAAATCAATATTGACATGTTTAATAGACTGAGATTTGCACTTTAATTAATTTAATAACAAACTTATCATTTAATCAAAATTAGATTATCTATAAAATTATTTTTATTTTCTCATGTTTGAAAACAATATAGATACTATGTATATACTATATAGATACAGCCCTCGAAATTAGGGTCGTCATTTGGCAATGCTGACCTTTCTACCGACCTAAAACTATTTTAGGTCAGCAAAAAATTGCTGATTTTCCTACTATGTTTTATAGTAAAATCTTTGTGTGAAATTTTTTTTTGTCGACCTTAAATAGTTTAAAGTCTGCAAAAAATTGCTGACCTCATTTTTCCTAATTATTAAGGCTGCAGATGTAAAATTATATAGATGCCAAACATATACATTTATCTATCATTTATTCATTACTAAATTAAAAGATTTCTTATACAAAAGAATATTTTTGATTTCTTGATTTGCATTGTAGATAATTTTTATTTCTTTCAATATTTTTAGGTGCTGATATTGATACTTTGCTTGTTGCACCAAGGCATATTGAACGAGCAGATTTCTTTGGTTCATTTTATGAATTTTTAAAAAACAGAGAAGAAACAAAGGATTTGCGGGTACTTATTTTTTTTAAAAGAACGACTGAAAATGATAGTGCTTTTGTTTTTTTAAATATTAAACATTTATATATTTTGAAATATTATCTTTGCATTTACCGTATGCGATCGCAAATTTTGTTAAAAAAATTATTTTTTGACCAAAATTAATGCGGAATGAAAATTTGAAGCTAAAAAGAGGTTTCATATATTAAAAGGTGTTTAGAGACATATACTACATTTTTATTCAATGTATTCTCTGTCAGCATCAACCACAGCTTTAAGACGACGCCTGAACCTGGAACAGGTGGTCTGGATATAGCCCTTGAGCATCTTGTTCCACTCCTTCTTGATGACAGCCTTCAAGGGTTTGACACTTTTATGGGGACTTTGACAATCCCTTAACTCTACATACACCCAAATTAATCAAGAGGACAAATCTGGAAATCCAGGTGGCCATAATGCTTTTAACCATTGTTTTGGCAAGTTCTCCTGGAGCCATTGCTGGGTCTTATGAGATGAATGTGGTAGTGCTCCATTTTGCTGGAACACCACATTGTTGTCTGGAGAATAGTGGCCATCGATCCAGGGCTTGACATAATTCTCCAGAGTTTATATGTATTCATTGGTGTCAACTGAAAACCGAATCCATTTTGAGACCATCAGATGAAACCAGGCCAAACATCAAAACTGAAACAGAATGTTTTGTATACTTTACATGTCCTGAAGCTGCTTAGACTAGTTTATGACTAATAAAACCATTGGTTCTACTGTTTGACACAGAATCATCAGTAAACAATTTTTTATCTGAGAAGAGGAAGGCTGTTAGCCTCTTCTTTAAGAGGTTCAGAAGTTTCTTTGATCTTTTTATTTTGAAACTTAGGGAAACCAGGTGTTTCTTAATCCTGGCTCTTGACTTTGCTTAAGATCCTTTCTGACTACCATCCTTTCTAATGGTGTGCTCACTCGCTGAGAGCTCTTTAGCCATTTTCCTCATTGACCTTACTGGATTCTGAGAAATTTGGCCCTTAACAGCCTTGATTTTTTGAGAAGTTCAAACTGACCTCTTTAAACCACTGCTAAACTTCCTCTTAACAGGACCAATCATTTAAAAATGCTTAATCACAGTGTAGACAGTACTTAAAGGCTTAGCATCTTAAAAATGTCTTTGGTCGTGGTGACATTTATCGCCAGGTCAATTGGTTTATACTCATATATAGGTCAATTGGTTTACTACTGATTTTCACTTTTTGCCTTTTCTTTAGTTTATTTCTATTTTTATTGTCAACAAAAACAAACAATGTATGTAAAAATACCAATTGAACATTTATTTTGAAATTACTAAACTTATTACGAGATTTGCGGTCGCATACGGTATTAAAAAACTGTGTTATGTGAAGCATACTGTCATATGTTAATATATATTATATATTATTATATTATACATGTTATGAAAAATAGTTGTACCTATTGATTACTATTTACCATTATCTTTTGCATTATAGGCTGTAGAAGAAGCATTTGTTCCAGTCATTAAAATGAACTTTGATGGTATTGAGGTATTTTAACAATATAAATATTTATCAATTCTTTTTATTGATAATATATTTTATTTAAAAAACAAATGGTTGTGCCGTTTTTTACTTGCATATTGAATGCTCTGCAGGTTTTGAAATATGTTTTTGTTATTTTAAACAAAACACTTTCATATTTATTAGCTTTGAACTATTGCACATTTACTGTTAAAGTTAAAGTGCACAAATTAACTACAAATTTTTTTTTTTAATTTCAAAAATCTCTATAAATATCTGTAAATAATTTGATTTACTAAACTTAAAATGTCACAAGCTTACATAAGTTGGTCATTAAAAATTTTTTTTTGAACACAAGTAATTCTAATTAGCTAATTAGTTTGACCAAGTAGCTTTTAAAGAATTTGACCAAGCAACTTTTAAAAAGTCTTTTTTTTTTTTTTTCAAATAGTTTTACCTTCTTAAAAAAAGAAATCAAAGAGATCAGATTTCTTACAAATTTAAAAATACTTTTAAATTTGTAAAGAAAAAAACAAACAACAATTTAAATGTTTTTTAACCTAAAAAGAATTTTTTAGCCACTTTTTATAAATTTTAGGGAATTGTGCAAAGTTTACACTAATTAATGTTGCAATTATATAGTGTATTGCAACACTCTATAATGCATTATATTGCTACTTCATTGCAACATAAAACCCATCATATATTTGCAACAAAATTAAAATTGCTATTTTTTAAATTTCTAGAGAGTAGGATAAAGAAATAAGTTGGTATGAAATCAAAATTAAATTTTTATATTTTAAATTAGGGCTTTACAATAAACTTCTCACATAAAAAAAGATGATAGATTTATTTGTTTCAAGTTAATTTTTTATGAAGTTTATCAAAAGAATGAATTTAAAATTAAAAAATATTAAATATAAATGTTGAAATAAATAAATCTTTATAACTCTTTAATATACCTTTTTATGAAAAACAAAAATAATAAATATAAATTTATAAAGTATATTGAAATCCTAGGTCAGGTCAGGTTATCTTGCTACTAGTAACATGTAACCCAGTACAACCTGCTTCATGTCTTGCTGTCTTTATGGATACGGTTTTTTAGGCAAAAGCTAGTAAAAAGCCGACTCTGACTTTAAACACTCCCTGCCTTGGGGCTCTTGGTTTAATAAAGGTTGGAGATGGTGTCTCAATAGAAATGCTCATCTTGGGTTAATACATCTAGCTAACATCTTGTAGAAGACCTCCTAGGCAAAGACTTAAGGGGTAAACAGATTCTATCTGTTGACCAGCCTCGCACCGCTTCTTTATCTATTAGGCTGGCTTAGATGTAGTCACAAGTAGCAAGCCCTTTCTCCTTATCCTTCAGCCAATATCGTTGTTGTTAGTGAATAGCTTGGCTCTAGCGTCAGTGGCTGCAGGAATTAAGGCCACAACATTTGCCTTTCTCAATCTATAACTCAAGTAGTCAATTTTCCAACTTGCTATCAAGACAATCTGAATCATTCACCTTCTCTACTCGACTTATATCTTGTTTCTGATTTTAGTCAGTGCTCAGTTTTTCCACATTCACTCTTAGGTGCTTCTGATCATGGCTAAAACTATTATCTCATTCTTCTTTATCATCAGAATCTCCCTATCATCATACCTCTTACAACTACCTTAAAGCTGACTGGGACTCTTGATTTTCTTCATGATAACCCTTCTGCTTTTATTCCCTATTGAATATACTAAGTCAAGTTTCACTCTTCTCCTTGGTTTTCCTCTCATTTTCAATCGAATCTCATAACCTACTTTCTGATCATCAATATGGATTTCGATCTTCTCGTTTTACGGCTTAAAAGTGGAGAGGTTAAGGCCATCGCTCTTGACATTTCTAAAGCGTTTGATAAAGTTTGGCATGCTGGTCTTCTCCATAAGCTATCAACTTACGGTGTATCTGGAAACATCATTAAGATTATTGAATCCTTCCTTTCCAATCGTAGTATAAAAGTTGTCCTTGATGGACATCACTCTTCTTCTTATTCTGTAATCTCAGGGGTTCCTTAAAGTTCAATCCTTGGCCCTATACTCTTTAATTTACATTAACAATCTTCCAGATATTCTCACATCTAAGGTGGCATTGTTCACTACTATGATACTACCATTTATTCTTGTCACGATAAGAAGCCAACTCCCTCTGATTGCTTGCAGGGGGCATCTGAGCTTGAAAAGGATCTCACTTCTGCTACAGCATGGGGCTCATAGTGGCTGAACTTTAACTCAGATAAAACTCAATTTTTTTCAGTCAATCATTATCGCAATAATTTAGACCTTCCTATATATAAACAGTTATGTACTCGATGAGTCTCCTACCCTTCATCTTCTAGGATTAACTCTTACTTCTGATCTTTCTTGAAAACCATATATTGAATCCGTTGCAAAATTAGCATCTGATAAAGTTCCGTCTCTTTATCAAGCTCGATACTTTCATACTCTGGATTCTATTCTCTATCTCTATAAATCTCAAATCCGACCTTGTATGGAATATTGTTGCCATATCTGGGGCAGATCTTCTAATGATGCCCTTTCTCTTTTAGACAAGGTGCAAAAACGCATTGTAAACATAGTTGGACCTGCTCTTGCAGCCAACCTTTAACCTCTGTCACATCGTCGTAACGTTGCTTCTCTTTCTCTTTTCTACAAATACTATAATGGGCACTGCTCTAAATAGCTATCGTCTCTTGTGCCATCTACTAGAATTCACTCTCGTGTTACTCGTCATTCAATTAAGTCTCATCCTTTTTCTGTTACTGTTCCTAAGTTTTTTTTTTGTTTTTATTTGCATTCACTCCCAACAAGGCTGCAAGCAACCACTATTAAGTTGGGAGTTACTAGGAAAAAAAAGAACAGAGTTATAGAGCAAGGAAACGATTGACAGAAGACTTGAAAAGTTGAAGGTTGTATGAGTCAGGAAAACATGAAGATTGGAGAAAGTTCGAAAGGATTGAAGTGCGGGGAAAAAAACTAGATGAATAAAAGTTTTTAGAGCATGCAGGGGCAGATACAGTAAACGAATGAGACTTAGCTGAATGACGAGTAAAATGAGAATGAATTTTAGTTGATGGAACTACAGATAATAACTCCTTTGAGCAGTGACCATGATAGTATTTGTAGAAGAAGGAGATGCAACTTTACAACGATGGGAAAGAGGTTCAAGCTTAGCAGATAGTCCAGGTCCAACAACATTTACAAATCATTTTTGGACTTTGTCAAGAAAAAAAAGTGAATCGTTAGAAGAACCAGCCCAAATATGACAAGAGTATTCCATACAGGGACGAATAAGAGATTTGTAGAGGTAGAGAATGGAATCAGAAGTAAGGAAATGGCGAGCACGATAAAGAGAAGCAACCTTAGCAGAAGCTAATTTAGCAATCGATTGTATATATGTATATAAAGGTCAGTAGTAAGTGATAATCCAAGAAGACGTAAAGAGGAGGACTCAGTAAGAGGATTGCCATTCATTAATATAGGAATGTTGATTTATATATAAGATATAGGAAGGTTTTTTTAGAGTTGAAATTCACAAGCCACTGTTAACCCCAATCTATTACTGAAGTGAGATCAGATTCAAGATGCTTGTTCTAGGCAATCGAAAAGAGAAGACTTTTTGTCAAGACAGGAGTATAAAGTTGAGTCATCAGCAAAAAGAGCTACTTTAGATGAAAGGTTGTCAGGAAGATCGTTTATGTAGATAAGAAACAAAACAGGGCCCAGGATAGAACCTTGGGGAACCCCAGAAGTTACTGGAAATAAAGAAGAGTGTTGGCCTTCAAGGATAACTTTAATAAACCGGTTTGAAAGAAATGATTTGATAATCTCAAAAACTTTCCCAGAAACACCATATGAAGCAAGCTTTTGGAGAAGACCAGCATGCCAAACTTTGTCCAAAGCTTTAGATATGTCGAAAGCAATAGCCCTAGCCTCACCGCCTCTATCTAATGCACGATAAAATCTTTCAGTTACAGCAGTTAGCAAGTCGGCCGTAGAGCGAGAGGATCGAAAACCGTAATGATTGTCTGACAGCAGTTTATTTGACACAAGATGAGATGTGAGGAATTTGTTAATCAAAGACTCAAAGACCTTGCTAATAACAGAAAGAAGACTGATGGGACGATAATTGGAGGGGTCAGAATTTTCTCCAGAGTTTTTGAATATTGGAACCACAGATGCCATTTTCTAACAAGCAGGAAAACAAGACTCAGTCAAACACTTGTTAAATAGTTTAGAGAGAATTGAAGAAAGTTCTGGAGAACAATTCTGCAAGACTGTGACAGGAATGTTGTTTGGACCACAAGCTGTAGACGAGTTTAGTTGAGATATGACTTTAGCAGCAGAAGCCGGAGTGATTTGAATGTCTAACAATGGGTCAACCTGTTTGACTGGAATGGAAGGAAGAGAATGTCCATAAGATTCAATAGTGGAATTAGAAGAAAAGTTCTTTGCAAATAGTTTTGCCTTATCCTTGGGAGAGGTAATAAAATCAGTCCCATGAATGAGAGATGGAATGTTAGATCTACCCTTGTTAATAATGCTGTTGAAAATTTTCCAAAAGTCTTTAGAGCCTAACTTCTGCGATAAGATGCGAGATTTAGTGAACTGAGAATAATGGAGTTTAGCATCAGAAAGCACCTTTTTACATCGATTTCTTGCAATAATAAATAGGCGTTTGTTCTCCAGAGAGTTGTTCTTTTGAAAAAGATGAAAAAAATGATTACGATTGGATATAGCAGCCGCACAAGAAGGAGAAAACCATGGAGTAGAATGAGGCTTGACTTGAAACCAACGAGAAGGAATAAAAGCTTCCATTCCAGCCTGAATTCAGAAGGTAATGTAGGAGGCCCATTTGTCAGCTGAGAGAGAAAAAACATCAGCCCAAGGACCATCACGAAGAAAATCACGAAAGGAATCCCAATCAGCATTAGGGTAGTAGTAGGTGGTGCGATGATAAGGTGAGCCCAAAAAAGAAGTACGAGAAGAAAGATTTATAGAGATCATTGCATGGTCAGAACCACCTAAGGGAGAAAAGGGAGAAACTGAACATAAGCTAGGGTCAGAGACAAGACATAAGTCAAGGAGTGAAGGTAAATGATTAGGGTTGTCAGGAAAACAAGTCACAAACTATCTGAGTAAGAGATTGAGAAACGCAGAAGTTAAAGGCTTTAGTGCCAGCAGGATCAGTGGTGTTAGAGCCAAGCCATTCGGTGTGATGGGCATTAAAATCACCAACAACAACAATATTGGCAGAGGGGTAAAGAGAAATGGCATGGTCAATTTGATCAGAGATAACATCTAAGATAGTGCAATCATGGGAAGAAGGAGAACGATAAAGAAAGGTGATAGAGTGAAGAGGTGCTAGGCGAAAGCACATAAAAGAATGGTCAAAGGATTCGAACCTGATTTCACGACAAATAGGGGAATTAATGCGTATGTATACCCCTAAACCTAGCATGTGACTATTTGAGTCTTTACGAATCAAAGGATAGTACCCATCAACACTGACATCTGAAGAAGGAATTGCAGAATTTAAATTTGTTTCACTGACAGCAAGCAAGTCTGGTGAATTTTGCAGGAGGTAAGACTCAACTGATGGAAAGTTGCTTCGGAGACCGCGAATATTTGTAAAAGATATACTAAAATATTTAGGTGGTGGGGATGGTTTTTTAGGTTTTAAATTTTTGGTTACTTTGGTCATGATTTGGGTTTAATGAGAACTTGACTCATTCATAGATAGAGCACAGCCTCCTAATCAATGAGCTATGCAAGTGCTCCAAAAACTCTTACTCGTCTAGTTTTTTTCCTCAAACATCAGTTCTTTGAATTTGCTTCCTTCATCTTGTTTTCCTGATTCATATAATTTGTAATCTTTTAAGTTGTCTGTCAATCGTTATCTTGCTCTACAATCTTCATCTTTTCTCTTCCAGTAACTTCAAACACTATTTAGTGGTTGCTTGCAGCCTTGTTGGGAGCAAAGCTGTTTAAAAAAAAAAAAAAAAAAATTTTGCTGTTGCAATTTCCTATCAAAACCATTGCTTTCATATCTATCAGCACAACAATTCTCTAGAAAAACAGACATCTGTTTACTATTGCCAGAAATCATTGTAAAAAGATTTTGTCTAACACCAAAGCCCATTATTTTTATGTCACGAAATCTTATATTTCATCTAAAAAGTTGTGACTTCTTGTGACTTCTGGAGAATCTTAAACAGTATCTATAACAAGAGCAAATCTGTTATTCCACTTCTCTTATGTGGTTCAGATTTTGTCACCTCATTTAAATATAAGACTGAGTTGTTTGCTAAGAACTTCTCATCAATATCATCTCTTGATTCCACTAGTCGCATTTTAACTGATATAGCTGACAAACAGGTTAATCTATTGCCTGACCTTCATATCACTCCAGCTTTTGTATCTAAAGTGCTGCTTAGACACTTATACAGCTTGTGTTCTGAACAACTTGTTGTAGTCTTGCAGAATTGTTCTATGGAGCTACCGTCTATACTTTTATAACTGTTTTACAAGTTCTTATCAGAGTCTTGTTTTCCGTCCTTCTTGAAATTAGCATCTGTTATCCCTATTTTCAAAAATTCTAGAGCAATCTGGCTCTTCTAACTACCGTCTTATTAGTCTTCTTACTATCATAAGCAAGGTTTTTGTGTCTTTAATTAATAAACACTTTTTTTTTTTTTTTTTGTTATTCACCTCCTCAAGGCTGAGAAGGCCACTACAAACGAGGAGGCTACTTAATAGTGGTTATAACCCTCTCTCAACTCTATAACTCTGAAACACGAACCTTGACGAACAAGGCCGCTCTGGGGAGAAACAAGTTGAGTGCAGTACTCCCAGGGACGTGGTGGGGATCGAACTCGGAACCTCTCGCTTATGAAGCGAGTGTTTTACCACTACACCACTACCGCATAATCTACTAAAATTCATTCTCTTGTTACTCGTCATTCAACTAAGTCTCATCGTTTTTCTGTGACTATTCTTAAGTGCTCCAAAAACTCTTATTTGTCTAGTTTTTTTACTCAAACGTGTATTTTGATATTTGCTTCCTTCATCTTGTTTTCCTGATTTATATAATTTGCAATCTTTTAAGTCGTCTGTCAATCGTTATCTTGCTCTATAAACTTTATTTTTTCTCTTCTAGTAACTTCCAACTCTAATAGTGGTTGCTTGCAGCCTAGTCGGAAGTAAAATGTCAAAAAACAATAATTTAAATTTAAAAAATATTGGCTCTAAATTTATTTTAAAGTTTGTAAAAAAATTTTTTGAGTTTTTCTAAACATTTCTCGTTTGTACTTGCTATAACTGAAGTTAAAAAAAAAAGTTAATTTATATTCAATTATTTATATAGGTAGTTATTTTATATTGAAATTGTAGACAACTTTCTTTAATTTAACATATTTTTAACAGATCCGTATAAAGTTAGTATGGTGGTTATTTATTTTTGGTAGTTTTTATGAATTTAAAATTTTTTTGTTATTTATTTTGTTTATATTCATAATTTATTTTGAATTTAATTTTTATATTATTTTTAATAATTTTTATATATAGCTTTTATATAATGTAATACAAGTTTGGTTAATATCTATGGCAGGGTGCATTTAATGTCCCCTACTTTTAAAAAAAGACCTGTCTCTATTTTTAAATTATTTTATTGGTTCATAAAAGAAACTCTGTAAGAAATTTAAAAAAATGTAACTGGAATTTAAAACATAAATTTTTTGAATTTTATTGTTTAGGAAATGACATTATAATAAATTATAATAAAAGTTAAAAATGTGCATTTGAAAAAGATTTTTTTAAATTATAATTATTTTTTTGTAATGTATTTTACAAAATAATGATTTTTTAAAATTAAATTTATATATAATTTTGCTTCATTTGAGATCCAACATAACTTACTTAAAATAAAAACTTTTTTTTGGCATTTTTACAGTCAGATTGATAAGTTTAAACTCAAGGTGGCCCCCCTAAACCCACTTACATTTTAAAAAAATTTAACAGTTGCTTGTGAAAACCAATAAAAAAATTTTAAGAAAAGGGACATATCTTTTTTTTTAAAGAGGGCGGCATTGTATTTACCCTAATATATTGAATAAATCAAATTACTTATGTTTAAAAAAAATTTGTTTAGATTGACTTGTTATTTGCACGACTTGCTCTTACTACGATTCCAGAAGATTTGGATTTATTAGATGAAAATCTTCTCAAAAATTTAGATGCTCGTTGTGTTCGCAGTTTAAATGGTATTTATATGAAGAAAATTAGAGTTGTAATGAGTATAATAATAATAAAAAAATACACTTATCAAAATAAAAATTTTTTGTTTTTAATTTTTATGGATAACACTATAAAGAATTTGAAACTAAAAAAAAATTGAAAATATTTTACCAAAAAAATAAATAAATAAAAAAACTTTAGTTTAACTTGAGTTTTTACGAGAATTAATAATTAATGGAATTTTTTTCTTTGTTTTGACTATAAAATAGTGCTAAAAGCATGTCTTTTTTAAATTGACTTTTTAAAATAAAGGCAGAATATTAAAAAATCCAAATCATTTCCTTGTATTCACAAAACCCCTTTTATTCTTTTCAAAACACCGCTCTTGCCACCAAAACAACCTCACTATTATCACCAACACCAAACCATTTTTCTAGTGGCACAACTCCATCTTTACTAATAACACTAGCGTAATTTAATTTGCGACATTTATCAATAAACCTTTACCACCTTAGGTACATCACTTTTAATAACATTTAAATTTGTTCAGAAACTTTTTTTACTTTTTATTTTTAGGTTGCAGAGTCACTGATGAAATTCTTCATTTAGTTCCTAATATTGCCAATTTCAGAATGACACTGAGAGCTATTAAACTTTGGGCTAAAAGTTTGTAAAATTTTTCTTATATTTAGTTAGTTTTAATAATTTATATATTGATTTAGATAAGTTTTAATTCTTTTATTTTAAAGTTTACAAAGATATATCAGATACATACATATATACATTCATACATACATGCTGTTACAGGAAATGTGTGTGACTGGTTGAGTGACCACAAGCACTCCCTGTAACAGCCTGATATATATATCAGGCTGTTACAGGAAGTACGTGTGGTTGGGCGTCTTGTCTGTCCATGCATAAAAATTTTTCTATAGAAAACTTGACCGCAGCTGTTTGCTTTTTTTCACAATTCAAGTGTTTTAAAAATGTGCTGATAGAACTACTAATAACAAAAAAAAAGTAGAAGTTTCTACCTTATTTTTAAATCTAGAGAAAGAATTAACGTAAGTACCTATATGATATACATTTAAATCATATTAAAAACAATGATTTGTCATACAATTTTCTCCTTAAAGGTATATTTATACTTTAAGGTATAAACATTTTCCGTACTAAATAGCTTTAATATAGAAAATTTTTATACCTTGAAGGTATAAAAATTTTCTATATTTTTTTATATTAGAGCAATATTCTTTGATAATTTTAATAGACATTTTGATAAAACAGCAGTAGTCAAAAAAAATTTTTAATTTTATTTCAAATATTTTTATGTAATATGAAATTTTTAGAAAAAATACAAATTTTTATTGTTATAGTTATTTGAAGTTATTCGAAATTATTTGAAGTTGTTTATTCAAAATGTAAAATATAAATATTTAAAATAATTTCCTCTTAGACTTTGAGTTTTAATTTAATATATATATATATTTTTTATATTAATTTACAATTTTTTATTTATTTTTTTTTATAGTTTTATTTTTATTTTCACTTTAGTTAACTGTTATTTTTTTTTATGCCTAATTTTTTAGCTTCATTTTTTTCCGCTAATTTTTAAAATGTTTAAAATTTTAAAACATGCAAAGAGTCTTAGTCAAGTTGTCTCAAGAAAATGCATGTGCTTCCTGTAACAGCCTGATATATATATATATATATATATATATATATATATATATATATATATATATATATATATATGTGTGTGTGTGTCTATATATATGTATATGTATATATATATATATATATATATATATATATATATGTGTGTGTGTGTCTATATATATGTATATATATATATATATATATATATATATATATATATATGTATATATATATATATGTATATATATATATATATATATATATATATATATATATATATATATATATATATATATATATATATATAGACACACACATATATATATATATATATATATATATATATATATATATATATATATATATATATATATATATATATAGACACACACACACATATATATATATATATATATATATATATATATATATATATATATATATATATATATATATATATATATATATATATATATATATATATATAGACACACATATATATATATATATATATATATATATATATATATATATATATATATATATATATATATATATATATATATATATAGACACACACATATATATATATATATATATATATATATATATATATATATATATATATATATAGACACACACATATATATATATATATATATATATATATATATATATATATATATATATATATATATTAGGGTGTCTCAAAAATATTTCATAAATCAAGTTTTAATGTTCGGAATATTACATTTAGCATAATTTTGGCCATAAACAAAAAAAAATAAGTTTCTAGGTAAGGGGGAAGGTGGCTAACAAAAACAATAAAAATCAATGATTATAATTAAAGTAGAAATCAAGTTAAAAAGTTGTTTTCAACCAAGAAATTCTTCTAAAACACAGGTTTGAACTTGTATATACAAGTTGTTTACCAGTTTCACTATTTTTTCATTATTAGTTGTATACTATAATCCTGATTCAATCAACTACAATTAAATGCACCTAATTATGGATTTTTTGAAATGAAATAAGTTGGTTTTAGAAAATGTCTCTAGGCATTAATTGTTGTGCTAATTCACTGAAAACAGATATTGATAATGCCTCAAAGCTATAGGGAAGAAGAGACAATTTTATTTGTTAGGGGTTTCTTTACAGAGTTTTTCCCCTAATGGACCTTCTACAAATGGAGAAATGCTCAGAAGGTATTACTGGCTTGATCTCGAAAATAGCAATAGGTAAATCTGTAATTAATTAACAAAATCATTACATTTTTTAGATGTTCAATGTTGACTTTTTAATTTTTTTTTTTTTTTTAATTTTTTAGCACCACACAGATTAACATCAAAATTAGTTGTCTAGTTGTTTCCAGGAAGACGTATTTACAATGCTCTAGGTTTGCTTATGGAGTGTGCAGAGAGAACACCAAGCAGATAATTACTGGTGTCTGTATTCTGAGGGAACCTGTCAGTTTATAGGAACTATCAAGACCAGAATCACCAAGAAAGTCAAAGAATACCACACTTTTAAAATGATAAAAACACAAGTTTGAGAACACGGACAATAAATTTTGGGAAAATGCTCACAGGGCACAAGAAAAAATAATTCAAATATCTGAGAAAATCCAAAGAAATAAAAGTAAAAAAAAAGAAAAATAAGAGTAACTATTTGGACGGTGAAAGCACAGATAGTGACAATAAAACTGATTGTGACTATATTTACCTCCAGCTAAAGTCCATAAAAAACAGAAAAGATTTCAGAATGAGATTAAAGTTTACCTTCAGTTAATTATAGAAGACATTCTTCACAATTGGATTCAATTATGACCAGATTTGGGATTGGGATCAGGCCGAGTATGTCTTTTTGTCTTCTCTTTACAAGGCTGGTGGAGTTAATATTGATAAAATCTCGATATCAAGATCAACTCTAAACAAGATAATGTTGTAGAGTCTGAGACACAGATAATTAGAGAGGAAAACATACAGTTGCGATCAAAAGTTTGGAAGATTGCATAACCAAAGTTAAGACCAACATGTTAAACAAGCTTTTCTTGATATCCCAGATTAAAAAGATCTGATTGAAAAGAGGCCTGAAACTGAGGTTGAAATTATTCCTACATCAAAATTAGAAGATTTTGTCAAGGAGCAGTCCTACCTTTTGTTCTTGCTATTGCAGATCTCCAAGAAGGATCTTTTGCTATGGAAAGAAAAAGGCATTGAAGCATGTGAAAATAAGGAAGATTCCAGTCTTTTACTTTTCAATATGTGTAAGAACACTTATAGTTGTATATGACCCTGCAAAACGCCAAATTAAGTTAATTCAAGATGTCATTGAGAGAACACACATTGAAGACAAGCTTCATGATGCTCTTCAAGTATTTTGTTCAATAACAGGAAATATAAATGGGATTTTTAGTTGTTATTAATAATAATAGTTGTTGATGTATAAGTACTACTTTTTATAAATTTATGTATTTGTAATTTAGGTCAGAGAAACCAAATTTCAAAGAACGCTACAAAGAAAGATCTTAAAATTATTTAGTTTAATATTATTTGTATTAATAATATTAGTTTATGTTATATTATAATGCTATAATAAGATAAATTTTTAGAGTATAATTCCATTTTGGTTTTAGGTAAATTAAATCTTTATTTATTACAATAAAGTTAAATGATGGATTTGAGGTTGAAACATTCCAGGGGCAGATACAGCATTTTTTGATGTTTGAGATAAATGATTAACCCCCTCAAATTGAGGGGGGGGGGTTCTAGTTTTTTATTGCTCATAGTTTTCGAATGCTAAAAGATTGTGTCAATTTTAAATTTTATTGATGAATATAGGTTTAGTTAAGAATAGTAAAAAAAATAATGAATCAACTTGTTGCTCTCTAACATTAAAAATGCTTTCATTTTGTTGCATTTAAAACAAATTTCACCTTAGAACTGATGGTTTATTTTGTAAAAAATTCACTTAAAGATTTTATGACAACAATATTTATTTGTTTAACACGCACTAATTTTTTTGTTTGTTTAGGTAACAATTGTTTAGGTGAATTTATTTTTATTTTATTAAGTAAAATTTGTAAAGTCAAATTTTACTTAATAAAATAAAAATAAATTCACCTAAACAATCTTTCGCTTTAGCTAGAGACTTATTTTTTTTTTTGTTGTTGTTATTTATGGACAAATATTATTGATGCCAAATGCAGTATTTCGCATATCAAAATTCAATGTATGATATATTTTTGGGACACCCTAATATATATATATATATGTGTGTGTGTGTGTGTGTATTATTTTTTAAATGGTTACTACAACCCTCATTTAACTAAAAAAAATAATTTGAAAAACAAGTTATGCTACTATTCTACTATTGTACTACTTAACAAATTGATAAAAATTTGATAAAAAAAAAATAAAAAATAGATGAAAATTATTTTAAAATAATATATCACCAAGTTTTAAATATTTTCAGTTTTGTAAGTTCAATTTTAGTTTTCTAATTCCAGATCAATTTGTTTATTCAAATGTTCTTGGATTTCTTGGTGGTGTGTCTTGGGCCATGCTTGTAGCTCGAATATGTCAGCTTTATCCAAATGCTATTGCTGCAACTCTTGTGCAAAAGTTTTTTCTGATTTATTCAAAATGGTTTGTATATAAAATTTTCTGCAATAGTGGTGATATATATTTTAGTTATCATATTTGTAGCATTCATATTTGTTTATATATTTTATATTAATGTTTTACAATATCTATATATTTAGGGCATGGCCTCAACCAGTCCTTCTTAAACAAATGCCAACTGAAAACAAACTTAATTTTCCTATTTGGGATCCAAGAGTAAGTTTTGTTGGTTGTTATTTAATTCATCGACAAATGTCATCGACATTTAATAAATAAATTAAATGCTTGCTTTTTTGACAAAAAATTTAGAAAGTCTATTTCTTTTTTAAAATATCATTCCTAGCTTCAGTTTATCAAGTTCTCTCTTGAACATTTTTTTAACCCTAGTTAAATTCTTATTTGATTTTTGAGTTGAAATTAATCTTTTTCAGTTTTGCTTACTTAAGGTTTAATGATTTTGTGTTTAATTTTAGATGAATCCAGCTGATCGATTTCACCTTATGCCAATTATTACTCCAGCATATCCACAACAAAATTCTACATTTAATGTGTCAATGTCTAGTCGTACTGTAATGCAAGATGCATTTAAGCGAGGTAGATATTTTTAGAGGATTTTTAAAGAGGTTTTTTTTTATTATTCTTATTAAAGTATCATTTTTTTTTCATTCTTCTTTTGCTTGTAAAGTTTATAAATTGTTCTTAATACCGTAATAACATATAGTTTATGTTCATGTTTACAAAGTTTGAAGTTTAGGTTTAGATGAATCAAATGGAGATAAAGATCATGTTTGGCTTTTACTTGGCTTGGAGAGGGTCTAACTACATTTGCAATGGATTTCGAATCTGTAAGAGAAAGAGTATAACATAAGAAGTATCAGCACAATAATGACAACATATGATGATGGATAAGAAATATGAAAAGGTAAAAAATGATTGATGAACATTCCATGATGATTGAATCAGGATACAATGATGGAATCAGAAGTATATGAATGATGATGGAATCAGAAGTAAACAAATGGCAAGCACAATAAAATGAGGCAATCTTAATAGATATTATCTTTGCAATCAACTGATAATAAGATACTCTTTCATAAGATAGAACTATTAAAAGAATTTGAGTAATGACTCAGTAAAAGTGTTGGGATTTATCAATATAAGAAATTATTATTAGCAGTAAACAACTGAGTTTTTTATGGAATAAAATTTACCATTCAATGCAAGCTCCAAGCTGTCACAGAAGCAAGATCATATTCAACATATCTAAGTGATTCAAAAGCAATTTTGCTGAGACTGAAGTATATATTTTTCAGTAAATAAAGCCATTTAAGATTATTAGGAAAGTTGTTAATATTGGTAAAAAATAAATGATCAAGGAATTTTATGGTACCTCAAAAACAAATGAAAATGAGAGAAAATGAAAATGAGTGTTGCGCATCAAAAATGACTTTAATACCCAATTAAAGAATTAGAGAATCGTTTTTTAATTTTAAACATGTTCCTTGAAACACCATATAAAAACAGATGGCTATGGAGAAGACCAGCAGAATGCCAAAATTTATTGAAATTTTTTTATATGAAAAAAACGAGAACCAAAATCTTTTTGTTAGATAATAGGTTTTTGAAACCCAGAGGTTTGTTGATTATAGACTCAAAAATCTTGTTAAAGGGATTCTCAAAGACAAATGTTTATTTTGTAAATAAACATTAGACAATAAGTTTTGAGTTTTCCAAAACTTAGTTAATTTATTTATTGAGATATTATTAAAAAACTCTTGTTGTTTTGCCATTATACCAGTTGAGAGATTAATATTACCTTCATGAATCTGCATAGTTTTTTCTAATGTAAAAATATCTAATTTGAATAATAAATGTATTTATTGCAGAGTTTTTTCGTGTAACAATTACGCAATTAGATGGAGTTTTTCCATTTTATATAAAAAACGTTTACACTACATTAAGCATTTTAGTTCAACTGGAGACTAGAGACAAAATAAAAAGTTGTTGATAAATAAAGAATATGGCTTCTCTTATTTGTATTTTATTTCTATTTCTATATTTACCTTGAATTCAAATTTATTTGTACTAATTCTTACTAAATTAAAATATATATTTTTTAAATTTAGTAAGAGTATTACAAATTAATTTTCAATTTTTCATTAGCAAAACTTGTTTATAGAAAATAACACTATAATTTTTAAACTTACATATATTTACAGCACTAATATTAATTTTTAAAATAAAATAAATACAGGACTTTTAAAGCGTTATTAATCTTGTTATTTTTATTCTGTTTTTTAAAAGGTACTCATTATTTTATTCTGTTTTATAAAAGGTACTTGTTATTTGGTTAAACATTTATAAAAGGTATAAAGGAATTCTTCTACATAAAAACTTTATCACAAATAATAACATAAAATTTATAATTTGAGTTTAAGTTATTTGAAAGAACTTTTTTGTATTTACTTATACATTTATTAACTACAAAAGCGCATTAGCAGGTGCTATTTAGACTATTTTCGACAGCGCCAGCTGTATTTGGGCACTGCCCAAATTCAAAATTAAGGGTTTTTTTCTTTTTTACAGCAAGTACTGTTTTCATTTGGAAATATTTACACCAATTTACGCCGCCTAAATTATTTTCCTAGAATAGCCCCTGATTAATCAGACCAGTATAAAAAAAAAAAACTTTACTTAGAAAAAATATTTTTTTAAAAATTATAAAGTTATTTGGTAATATCTCTATTACTAGTTTGTTTAAAAAAGTTTATTTAAAAAAAATAAAAACTTTAAACTGCTATTTTTTAAGGATTAAGATGGTAAAACTTGTATTGGCACTTGGGAATCTTTATAGTTTTAAAAATTATAAACTTATTTGGTAATATCTCTATTACTAGTTTGTTTTAAAAAGTTTAATTAAAAAAAATAAAAACTTTAAACTGCTATTTTTTAAGGATTAAGATGGTAAAACTTGTATTGGCACTTGGGAATCTTTGGGAATCTCTTTAATAATAGTAAGAAGACTTATCTGGTAATAGTTAAAGAGTTCAATGTGATTTCCAGAGCTTTTTAAAATTTGGAAACGTTGACTATATTTTCCGGAATGTTAGAAAATTTAATTAATCACTTTTTAATGTTATTCTGATTTAAAATAAGAATTTAAAAAGTTCTTAAAACATGATCAGATCTTAACATGAATTTTAAAATGTCAAAACCACCAGCTGAAGAAGATTTAAAGTAGAAATAACTCAAGAAAAAAATTTCAAAGTGATATGTTTCTAATAATGAATTAATTTGTTTCTCTAGGAAGACAGGAAAAGTGTGGTACTTAAATTAAAGAAGTAATTTAATGTAAAATCTATTTGAAAAAGGTTCTGCTTCATTAATAAAGGTAATAAGATCAGACCTATATATATGATAAAAGGTTAGACTTGCCTTTGTTAATGATACTGTAACAAAAACATTTCAAGTATCTAGAACTCAGCCTCTGATATAAAATATAAAATTTAATAAAAGAGTTATGGTTGTGTTTTTCCTGCAATGGTTACAAAATGTTTTTTCTTAGAAAAGTTATTCTTGTGAAAAATATAAATTAAATGATTACAATTAATAGTTAATTATTACAAATACAAATAGCAGCTGCACAAGAAAACGAAAATCAAGGGTGGAGTAAAACCAAGGATGGAAGGGTGGAGTGAGGTTTGCCTTAGAAACAATGAGAAGGGATAAAAACCTTCATGCTTGCCTAAATCTAAATGGTGATTTGCAAATGGACAACTTTCAGCTGCTTATTGAAAGATTAATGCTTGGACTAATGTCCAAGGATCCCATGAAAAAAATAAAAAGATTGTGAGGCAGTCTTAATGTAGTTTGCAACCTACATGGCTGTTTAAATTTACTATAATTTATAAATAAAACTGAGTTATAGTATTTAATCAAAAGTTTGTTTTATTTTTATTTATAATTATTTATATTTACTACTTATATTAGATGTTACTATTTGTTTTCTTTTTCAATATTATGTTTTATTTTTTATCATTAGTAATTAATACAGGTCTCGAATTAACCCAAAAAAATCTTGTGATAAAAAAAAATATTTTTTTGCCCCTCCTGCCTTCTCATACCTCGTGCCGCTTTGTGGAAATGGGGGAGAGGTGTGCATTAGAATAAAGTTGTATCTTTTGTACATAATTGTTATTTGTTTAACATATTATCTCTTGTATTTAAATATTATCTTATAATTTTCTTGTTTGTCTCTTGTATTTAAATATTATCTTATAATTTTCTTGTTTGGCAGGTATTTTAAAATAGCGTAAGTTACTGTTATAATTTACAGCTTAATTTATAATTTAAAGTTTAAGTTCCAGTTTCAGTGTTAATGAGCAAGTAACATATTTAATACTATCAAGATAATTTAGTAATTGTTTTTACTTAACATGATACTTAAAAAAGTAAAAGTAAAAAACTAAGAGTAAAAAGCAAACACAACAATATTTAAACCACTTTAATTAGTCATAGAAAACTATTTAATACGTTCATGCTGGCGATAAAACACTTTGTTGTTTTTATAGAGTATTTAATTGTTATTGTAAAAAGCTATAAAACAATAAAATAAACTGCAAAGTTGTTTTGAAAATATAAATAGCTTGTGTTAATGTAAAACAATTTCGTGAAGCTGTTTTGTTGCTGTTTTATACAGTTTATAACCTTAATAACATAAAACACGTTTAAAATAAAACGAAGCAAATAATAATAATTTACAGTTTTAATTAACAAATAAATAAATTATTGTCATATAACTTAATATTTAAGTATATATATTAAAGAATAGTTCTAATTAATAAATTAAAAAATTATCATTATATAACTTAATATAACTTAAAAACCAGGCTGGTTTGTTACAAAAAAAAGAATGAAGAAAAAGTTTGCTTTAACGTCTTTTCCCTTTTCAACTTTTCGCTTTAACAACCTTTTTAATATTATTGTCTTCCACGCAGAGATTTTAAGTAATTTAAATTCAAGTGTCATACATTGAATGAAAATCTCTGCGTGATAGAGCAAATGATTAGCTATTCAGAAGATAAATTTAGTGTGACGTATTTTATGACAATAACATTACTTTTAAGAATTGCCAAAAAAAAAAAAATACTTAACTAGAAAAAATGTAAATAAATAACAAAAAAAGAAAAAATAAATCACAAAAATTTGTTTTTTAAGAAACAACAAATCCCGAAGCAATCATGGTCACGATACACTTAATTTGAGCCATGTAATATCAAAATAAAACTTATCATAGCAAAGTAGTTAGGTTAAATGTTATTTTTTTACTTGGTAACAGAGTTGATTTTTAAAAAATTGATTGTGGGAAATTGTTTCAAACTCAACAAATCATCTTTTAAATTAGAACAACCATTCTTTATCAAACAAGATACAATCATTCTTTTTAGACAGATAAAAATTATTATTGTATAAAATTATTATAATAGTATAATTACATTAGTATTAGATTTTCAAATTACTCAAATTCCATGACTTAAATTTGAATTTTTTTCAGCTGTATTTGCTTTAAATATTGTAGTACAAAATATTGTCTGTTGTTAGATAAAAAGGAAGTAGGCCTTTAGATGCTAGCTTATATTTTTTTTAAATATTTCATTTAATTTGTGTTTCTACTATTTAATTACAGGTTTTCAAGTAATGGAAGAGATTTATTCTAAAACCTCAACTTGGAAAGCGTTATTTGCACCAGCTAATTTTTTCCAAAAATATAAGTAATATATATATATATATTTTACATTTTAAATGTTTTTTTTTTGAATAATACATATAACATATAGTTCACTTAATAGAAAAATTAAAAGTTTTTATTAGATGTTGTCTAAAGTATCCACGTAAAGTGTATCCATGTAAATGTAGATATTCTTATATATAGTTATTTGTAAAGAAAAAATAACACTATTATTTTTTTAATCTTTAATAATTTAAATGTAAATACAAGTTAAAGAAAAGACTTATTTCTAGCTTTTACTTGTTTAAGTTTAATATAAAGTATTACCTAACTTCACTTAGTGATAGGAAGTAGCAGGATCCAAGCATCCAAATTTTCTCAACTGGTAGTTTAGTTTACCCATACTCCACAAACATGGCTACCCCTTTCAGTTATAAAAATCTCAGGGTCTTAAGTGGCAGTTCATAACTAATATTATAACTGTTTAGTCTAGTGTTGACATCAATGCAGTATTTATTTTTACATGATTAAGAAAAGAAGAAAAGATTTGAAAGAAGGGCAGTTAAAAGTGGTGATTTGTATTTTGATTAGTTCAGCAATTACAATAAACAGTTTAAATACCGTAAAAGCTATAGTGATTCTTATTTTATTGATTTTTGAAATTTAACTATTTGTGTAAAAATAAACTTGAACTAAAATATTTTTGTTTTCGAATAATTTTTAGGGTCCCAGTAGGATTGGAATTGAAAACATAGTATTTGAAAGATCCTTATTTTTTTTTTTTTTTTTTTTTTTTTTTTTTTTGAGACTTTGCTTCATAATCTAGTATTTGCATGTTTATAGACAAATTGCTTCATAACCTAATATTAGCATGTTTATAGACAAATTGCTTAATAATCTATATTATTGTGTTTATCAACACGGTATAACTCATAATACACAAAAGTTCATTTTAAATATCTTGATTTTTGTATTTCATTTTTTACAACAATTTTCAATTGTTGTTAACAATAAATATTATATTAGATTATGAATATAATATATTAGATTATGCAATGTCACCAGCCAAGAATCATGAGGCCATATGTCTATTTTTTGTGTTTTCTTGAAAATTAAGTTTTTTTATTAGCATGTTTATAGATAAATTGTCAGCTGAGAACCAAGTGGTCGTATGTCCACATTTAGTGTTTTTTTTGTTTATTATCAATATATATTGTATGTGTTCAATAAAACTAATTTCAAGAATGATACAACTTTTAAAAATATTTAAAAAATTAGTCGGACAATCTGGCAGAAAGTCTTGACAAATCAGGTTTTAAAACTTAATTTTCAAGGAAACACAAAAAATAGGCATATGGCTTCATGGCATAAAACTTAATTTTCAAGGAAACACAAAAAATAGACATATGGCTTCATGGTTCTCGACTGATGAAAGTGCATAATCTAATATATTATATTCATAATCTAACATAATATTCATTGTTAATAACAATTAAAAATTGTTGTAAAAAATGAAATACAAAAATCAAGATATTCAAAATGAACTTTTGTGTATTATGAGTTATATTGTGTAGATAAACACAATATAAATTGTATTAAGTTCTAGGGTTTTTTTGATATGATAATAAATCAGATAAATTTTTTTTTTCCTTTCCTTAAAACCCCTAGAAAAAAAAAACATTTTTTTCGTATTTCACTGTTCTCAAATTAATAAATCAGATTAACAGACTAGACAATAAAAGTTTTAGATCAATAAATTTCTGTAGTATTTAATTTTTCTCTGAGGGTATTTAAAATAGTGATATAGCTACTTATATCTATATGTTTTCTCTGAACTTTGTGAAGAGTTTTTAATATTTAAAAGTCAAATATATTTAAATAAACTTTATACTTTGACAATCTATTTTGTTGTATGTATCAAAACCAGTTATATTCAAGACAATGCAAAAAAATGCAAATATTTCCATTTTCTTACTTACTATTTGACAAAGCTGTCAAGCCTAAGTAAATTGCTAAGAGCGTTTCAATTACAGAAATAACAACTGCTACATATGAGGTAAATTCAGAAAAATGTAATGTTATAAAAATAAATTAAAAAATATATAACTCAGCAAGTTAAATCTGATTAATAAATAAAGGCAATAATGATGTTAAGTTCAACAAAGAAAAAAATTACCTTTAACCGTGTAATAATTAGATAATAATTTAACAATAAAAGCTGTAACAATTTTAAAATATAAGAACATATCATAGAAAGAAGATGTAGTGAAAAATATATTTCAGTTGAAGATTTTGCCTTTGTTAAATATTATATCGTTAAACAAAAATAAAATTAAAATGTTAAATAATCTTTATCATTAAATAAACTTTACACCTTTTTTTATGAGTGCTTATTGCTAACATTTTTTTTACTACAGACATTACATTGTTTTGAGTGCTTATTCCAACAGCAGTGAGCATCATCTAGAATGGGAAGGTTTGGTTGAATCAAAAATTCGTATACTTATTGTTAATCTTGAAAGAAATCAATTTGTAAAACTTGCTCATGTGAATCCTAAATCGTATGATCCTATTCTTAAATCTGAGTAAGAAATAGTTTTTTATATTATTTTTATTTGGTAGCTGGTTTTTGCTTGTTTCAGTTTGTCTTTATAACAGTTTGTGTTTATATTAGTTGGCCTTTATACCTGTTCATGTTTATGTTACTAAGCATTTATAGAAGTTCATGTTTGTATTAGTTGCCATTTGTATCAGTTTATGTTTATATTAGTTGGTATTTAGATAAATCTTGTTTTTATTTTGGAAATTAATATCAAATTTTTCAAGTTGATTTTCAAGTTAGCCATTTAATCAAGTATTCGTGAAGTCAGCATTTAATCAAGTATTCGTCAAATAAATGAGTTGTTAAAATGTTTTTTTTTTATGTTTATTTTTTTACACAAAACATTTTAATATTTAAATAAAGTTAAAAGTATGAACATTATTAAGAATAATTTTAATAAATAATACTTAATAAAGAATCTTATTGATTTTTTTATTTATGGTTATTTAACAAAATTTTCTAAACACGAGCAGGTGTTTTTGCTTGAAAATATTTATTCTTAATGAATTTAAAAATTTTAAAGATTTTTAACTTGTTTAGAAGTGGCACTGTATCTCGTTGGTTTATTGGTCTAGAATTTCAAAAACCAGGTATTTAATTTGCATTCCCAAAATTATAATTTACATATTTGTATATGTGTATGTGTATATGTGTGATAGTTATAAATTTCAACAATATAGTTTCAAATATATTTTGACTTAATATATTACTAGAAAATATGTTTTAAAATGTACTAACATTCCTTGCATAAAGCACATTTTTTGGAAAAATAATAATTTTAGTGAAAAATTTTTATTTCAAATAAATACTTGAGAAATAATTTTAAAATTATACCTTATGCGATTGAACAGTTTCATTCCATTTAAAGAATTATTTATCTAAATTTAAAGTTGTTGCCAGCAATTTAGAAATATTAACAAATAAATATTTGATAACAAAAGACTTATATGTTAAAGCAAAGATTATATGAATCGGTGAATGTTAAAAGGGTGGAAGCCCAACTATGTAATCTTTCAGGAAACTAAAAAAACTGCATTTTTCCCCATAGTAAATTTTTGTTAATGTTTTAATAATTTTTTTTTTGATGTTTTTCACCTTCAAAAAAAAATTATTGAACCATTAACAAAAATTTACTACGAGGGAAAATGCTGTTTTATTTAATTTCCCATTACATTTTTTACATTATTGGACTTCTGTCGTATTAACATATATATACTTAAAAAATTTTTATTTGCAGCTATTGAACATTTACCTTTTTTAGAACAATATCCATCGAGTCTAATCTATAAGTTTCTTTCTTCTTACTTTTTACATAACCAATATTATATTTGATACTTTGTTAAGTTTGCTAAGACACTGTTTATTTTGTTATTTAACATATATGTCCTTAAGGCTTCAAGACAAATATAATCTTGAATGAATGTCACTTTTCTTACAAGAAATGCATAAGCAAATTATTTTCTGTTTGTTTTTAGAAGGCACTGAAAATGTAAATGTGGATATCACAGCTGAAATACAATACTTTACCAGCACTGGTGGTTCTTTTAGTTTTTAAATTTGTTTTGTCTTTTATTTTTTTGAAACAAAACATAGAAATATAAAATGAAATACAAACTACATAATAAAAAACAAAGTTTTAATATTTTTAATAGTACATAAACAAGCTTGTCAAATTGCAATATTTCGAGAAGGAATGCGAACAGAGGCCAGACATGTAAAAAAGTAAGTTTTTGTTTGCATTACTGTCTGTCTTATACTAACCCCTATGTGTTGTTATACATTTTTACATGTTTACCTCTTTGGATCTTGCTATACATTTGAAAAGTTTTTATTGCCTATTATTCCATTATAATTAGTTTTACTGATATGGTCTTGCTTTTATGTTTTTTAGAAAGCAATTAAGTAATTATCTTCCAAACACAGTATTAAGATTGAAAAAAAAAAGCTCTTTGAATGGGGTAATTTATTTCATTTTTGTTTGTTTATTGTACTATTGTTTATTTATTTTTTGGTAATTATATAAACCAGTAAAATAATTGATTCAAGGTTTAGAAACTACAATTAAGAGAGTAAAACATGAAATGTTACTGATAATGTTATACTGAATTAGTGCTTCAGTACATATATCCACTGAGGTTTTGGGTTTGGGCTAGCAGTATCTATGTATAGAGGACAGTTGTAACTGCAAAAAAAAATATATATTTTTCTTTGTCTAAAAAAGTCTAAATCTAAATTAAAGTCTTCTTTTTAAACCTATATAAAAATTATTTTATTGTCTGTATTTTTTCAGCAAGTGCTTAATGAATAATATCAAAACTTTATATATATATATATATATATATATATATATATATATATATATATATATATATATATATATATATATATATATATATATATATATATATATATATATATAAAATAATTTAAATATATAAATAATTTTCAGTTTATATTAGCTACCTCTTTTTTTCTTCAGGACAATAAAATGAGTTAAAAAGAAATTGCTTTTTTCATTTAATTACGTAACGTAACTGTCCTTTGGTTACTGAAACTTTAAAAAAATGAGTGTTGTTATGTAATTTAATTTTAAAAACTTGTTACAAAATTTTATAAGAATTTGAATGTATAAAAAATTTGCTTTTTTGAAAAATAAAACGATTTTATAATATCTATTCAGAGTAAAGTTAACATTTGTTTTTTGGCAATTAAGAGTAAACTGCTTTTGATAACAAAAGTAAAAATTTCAGTCTTAATAACTCAATCACATAATTTTAATTTTTGAAAGTTTTGTTTCTTATCCATATTCTTTAAGAGTATAAAAATAATAGAAATAACCATTACAATAAATTATTTTTTTCAATGTCTTTGTTGTTAAATATAAAGTTTTTCAATCAAAAAATATAACATTTTTAATATTTTGTTTTCCGTAATAATCTCTTCTTTAATTATCTTTATTATAAAAGGCGCCTTAAAATCACTTCAAAAGTTAATAACTTTTTGTAAAAGTTAAATGATATGCTAATATTAAAATTAAAACTAAAATAATAGTAAATACATTTATTAAATGCCTATGTTTTTTTATTCAAACTAATGTAATAGTAAATACATTTATTAAATGTTTTTTTATTCAAACTAATGTAATAGTAAATACATTTATTAAATGTTTTTTTATTCAAACTAATGTAATAGTAAATACATTTATTAAATGTTTTTTTATTCAAATACAAGACGAAAAACTATTATTTTAATTTTACAAATATTACTCGATTTAATATATGTAAATATATTATGCAATGTAAATATTGATTAAAAATTATTTAAAGTATATAGAGATTTAATTACTAATTATTTAAAAATTAATAACTACAAAAATTTTAAATAATTATTTACAAATAGCGTGGTAATTGCAACAAAAGCGTTTATTAAAATCTTTAGTAATATTACTAGTTGTAAACAACCTTGAAATGTAACCAACTAGTTCAGAAATATATTGATTTAAAAAAAGAAGTAAAATAGTTTTCTTATAGTAACATGGTTACGTCCACCAGTAAATTCATGTATTCAAAGAGATGCTAGCTCTCCTTATCTTCGGATAAAGCTAAACATGATAAACACAAATGATTAAAATGATTAAAAATCATTGTTGCGGCACCGGTTTTAACTAGGGACAGAGGGGGAATCTTAAGAACATCACCAATGTTGCTGAAAAAAAGCGGTATCCCCAAATAAACTCTGGGTTCTTCACTGATTATGATGAAAAAGCCACAAAAAAATTGTATCTAAAAATTCAGATAAACACCCACCATGCAATTGCATAAACAAACAAAACTGCCCGATGAAAAGAAAATGTAGAATTTCAAATGTTATTTATACATGTATAGTGTCACCCCCTAACATTCCAGAAAAAGTATATATTGACTTATCAGAAAGCGAATGAAAGAAACGATGGGCTAACCACAAACACTTCTTTACAAATAAAAAACTGAAAAATTCAACCACTCTTTCCAAATAGAAATGGCAAATAAGAGAAAACCTTAAAGTAACAACCAACTTAAACTGGTCAATAATGAAAAAAGTTCCTGATTACAATAACATCGCAATGATTTTTGAATTATAAAGAAATAAATGTAAATATCTTGATGTAAAATTTAACAAAATGAATAAGTATTAATGGACCAAGGGTATTGGTGAGTGGTTCTCACTTTGCAAATCAGGAGTAAGATGCCACCATGTATATATATATATATATATATATATATATATATATATATATATATATATATATATATATATATATATATACACACACATACACACTTACTAAAGCATATTTTTATAAGCATTTGCTCACTTTTTTTGCTTACCATAACCTATACAGCTTTTTTAGAAAAAGAAGAAGAAAAAAAAAGAAGAATGATAAATGAAATGATTGCTGCCCCATCCCAAACCCTCAGTCGATGTAGCAGCACTCCACTGCGAGTCAGGCTATTTGTCAGTCGATGTATGTACTGAAGCCCCCAGCAGCAGGCTATTTCAGTATGATGTCAGATTGCTTACCTTAGTACGCAATACTATTTGTATATATATGTATATGTATATATGTATATATATATATATATATATATATATATATATATATATATATATATATATATATATATATATATATATATATATATATACACAGTGGTGTACACTGGACTTTTAGATGTTTGAGTTTTGACACTTACAGGTATTGTGCAAACTCTAAACTTTTGTATGTTCATACATATGTCAAATGAGAATGTTTTGCAAAAAGTTGTGGTAATTGGAGCTTGGGGACAAAAAAACCCTAATTTTTGGGCCCACCCAGCCCTTAACGTGGGAGCAACAAGTTGATAAAATAATTTTTTAGTATTTTTATCTAAGTTTATATTCATTAACAAATTTCAAATTTCATCCAAAAATTTTTTATTTTTCGAAAGTTATGACCATAAAGTTTTAACACCCCTCAATTTGAGGGGGTTGTAAATTTTGTAGGGTCATAAAAACTTAAAACTAAGAGGTTATTGCATGAAATTTGAAATTCGTTGATGAATATAAACTTAGATAAAAATACTAAAGAAATTATTTTGTCAACTTATTGCTCCCACATTAAGGGCTGGGTGGACCTGAAAATTGGGTTTTTTTTGTCCCCAAGCTCTAATCACCACAACTTTTTGCAAAACATTCTCATTTTACATAAGTATGAACACACAAAAGTTTGGATTTTGCAAAATACGTGTAAGTGTCAAAACTTAAACATCTCAAAATCCAGTGTACACCACTAATATATGTAAAATACATACTAAATATACAATAAAGTATATCACTTTGCTTTAGTTTTAAAAGTGAACATAATACAGATAAAGTAAAAGCCTAAAAATTTACTGCTAGTTCAAACCCAAACCCTCAGCTGATGTATATACTGAAGTACTAAGACTGACTTTTTCTGTATAACAACTTTGATGTTTCATGTGCAGCTATATACAAATTTATATATGTATATATATAAATATATATATATATATATATATACATACATACATACATACATACATACATACATACATACATACATACATACATACATACATACATACATACATACATACATACATATACATATATATAGATAGATAGGTAGATATATAAAAAATGAGGTAAAATACATTTTTGATTTTAGGGGAGCGAAAAACAAAGAAGTTCTTTATCGGAATGTTATTCAGAGAAAGGTATACTATATATTTTGCATTGTTTTTATAATTAAAACATAGTTAAATGAAGTTAAACATTTGTAATCAAAGAGTAGTTTGGTTACTAATGCAAATTTTAGAAAAAAATTATCAATTGTTTAGTTTTGTCTAAGTTGTTTTAATTGGCTAAACGTTTGCTGATGACACTTCATTACATAAATTTAAAAACTTAATTTTTTTGCTATTTCAAATAAATTAAAAATGGCAAAATGAATGCTTATTTAAATTCTAGATAAAATAGTTTAAAAAAAATTGTTATATTTAAATAAAATGATAATTGAGTTTATTTATTTTAAAAAATTAGAAAAACAAGCGTATTCTTTAAATTCTGTGATAACTAATTAAGAAATGCAACAGCAAATGAAACGTTTTATTTAAATTCTAAATAAAAGTTAATAATAAAAAAAATTTTTTTGATTTCAATTTTTAATAAAATTCTTAGAATAAAATGTCAAAAGTATTTTAATTCTAAATAGAAACCTTTGATTTAAATTCAAAAAAAAAACAAAAGATCAAGTATAAAAAAAAACAGAAAAACAAAAGTTTTATTGATTCTAAATAAAATCATTATAGTTAAGTTAGCAAAATATTTGTTTTTCAGATTTTTAAGCAAACATAGATGTTTGAAAAAATTGCTAGCAAACTCATGGCTTGTTTTTCTGCAAATTTTATGCTAAAATTTTTCACGTTTGTCAATTTGTTGAAACTTGTTTCAAAAATTCATGCCAATCTGATTCTAACCTAAAATGTTTTTAGGTCTGAAATTTTTTCGCCAACCTTATTTTTTTTAATTTTGAGGGCTGCATTACATATTTCTAAAAATAGTTTTAAATATGATTGATAAAAAGTTAAAAATTTTTAAAAATATTTCCATAATTTATAATGATCATTGTAACATGTCTATAAAATTATAAAAATTTTATTATTTTCATAACTTATTTGTAAATTCGTCATTTAATACTCAATTTGTTTCCTTCATTTCTAGAATTGTTTGTTTGTAGAATTTAATATCAAAAATTATATTAATCTTCTTTGACTATTTGACTTCAGTTTGCTGAACATTTATACATTCTGTTGATTTAAAATTGTTTAGGTGAATCAAATGATGCATTCAGCCAAGATTCTATGCAGGTTTTATATTTAATTTATGTTAAAGCATGTTATTGTTAAATTTGGAACAATGAATTTTGTTTTAAAATTTACTAACACATTTAAATATATATATATTTTTTGCATAATTACATTAAGTAATGATAGTATTAATTAAAAACATCAACAAACGAGTTAAAATATTTCGGTTAAAATGTCATCAAAACAGATAAAAAATGATAAATCTGCACAACTATCTACAAAATTCTTCTGCATTGTTACTTTCAATCGCTAAAGCATCTGAATCTAGCAAAACTACTGTTTATATGGTCATAAATCAATACAAGAGCTCTTTATTTATAGATTGAGCAAAATAATCTGGAAAAAAGAGTTACTTTAGGGATAAGAAATCAGCAATTAGTATTTGACGATCATTCACATAAAAATCCCAGCTTATCTAACAGAGAACAAGCCAAAAGGTATAAAGTTTCAGAGTTTTTCCTCAGGAAATTTAAGAAATTTTACAGTCTCAAGTCTTATCGATCCATTAAATATCCAAATCAAGCAGATAATCAATCACTGATTGCTAAAACTCGAGCTAGAAAACGTTATGATAAAGCGCTTACAAAATTTGCATAATTATGGATGTTGAAATGTACATCAAATGTGACTTCAAACAGCTCTAACGTTCAAAATTTTACACTTCAATTGTTTGGGGACATGTCAGCAACATTTTTAAGTATAAGTCATTGGATAAATTTAGTAAGAAACCTCTCTTGTGACAAGTAATATGCAGCTGCGGTTTAAGATCTTGAGCTTCTGTCACTTTGTCAACTTTAAACTCAGATTTTTACATCAAGTAATGCTTGCAAGCTAGTCTTAAGCCATTTTATAGAAGTCACTATGTCCCTTTTTGGTTCTGGCTTGATCTTGTTTCTTGTCATTATTCTAACAAGACCGTAGAATGGTAAAATTCGATAGACATCAGATTCATACCTTAAGTTTGAATCTACCAAACTGGATATTTGCGTAAGAGTGGCAAAACAATAAGTACATCCAAAGATTTGATTAAAGAGTGGACATAAATAGGAAAAAAAATTGCCTGAGAGACTGTGCAGAGCTTGGTTTGTCAATTAACATAAGTGTTTACTTATTTATTCTAAATAATAAAAAATATTAAAACAAAAGTTTTATAATCTTCAAGTTTCTTAGATTACAATAAATATAAATAAGTTTTATTATTGGTTTAATTATTATTAATTTTTTTTTTTAATTTTTTATCATTCGAAATTTAATGATCTTTATGCTTTACCTAAGTTTATTGCGTAAAATTTTTTTCCATTTACTTATTTTCTTTATTGTAATACTGTTACTTATATTATATTTCTTTAATATGATGTGATTTTATAAAAAGTTAGATTGTTAATATTTACATTACATTCTTTTGATTCTTTTTCCTTCAATAATTTTATAATTTTATTGTTTCCTTCAATAAAACAATTCTTCTTTTTCTGTTTTCCTTCAATAATTCAATAATTCTTTTATAATTTTATTGATTAACTGATTTTTCTATGTGAGAATTGCAATTTGAAAATGAAATATTTGCTGTAAAATCACCCAATTCATCGATCAAATAGACCAATAAAAAATAAGCACCTAAACTATAAATCATTAAACCATTTTCTTTTAAACTGTAAAATTCTAAATTACGTTTCATTAAAAAATGGTTCAATTAAAATTCAGTTCATTTATCCAAAAACTAAAGCGCCATAAAAACAAGTATACATCAGACTAAGGGCATTTTAGATGAACTACAAACATTTGAATGAGGTTTTAAAACAAGAATACATCAGACTAAGGGCATATTAATTGAACTACTAACTTTTGAATGAGATTTTGAAACATGGTAATTTGATTTGTAAGTTACCTTACTATGATTGCATGATGGTTTATTTAAGTAAGGCTAATCATGTGTAAACATGGGTTATTAGATGTTTACACATGATTATAATATTAACTGGTTTAATATTTAGCCATTGGTGATGTATTGATGAATTATTGAATCATGGTAGATCATTATTGATAGATCACTTCCAAATTATGGGATTAGGGTGCTGGTCCAGTTTTTTCTAGCCATATTCCAGTCAGCCATATCTATAACTTAAATGGGATAAGATAAGATGATTTGAATTTGTAAATGTTTGGCATAGGATTTATTCCTGCAATGACAAAAATCAACGGAATATATGTCTGTCAATGTAGACCATAGGTAATTTATTATGGGGTCTGGTTGTGGCTCATAAGTTAATCAAAAACTTGTAAGGTTTTGAATCGAATCAAAATGTTTGATAAATATGTCTTATTACATTTTAAATATTATTTTTTTAATTTTTTTTTTAATTGATTTATTATAAATTATTTATAATAAATATATTTATTATAAATAGTTTATAATATTTATTTAGACTATTTTGATTTATTTACTTAATAAACCTTTTTGTGAATTTTTATTTTACTGGAGAGTTTCATCATTACCATTTTATCTATTAACATTAAGAAGGAAATTAGTTTATTAGTAAATTTAGTTATTAATTTTTTTTTCAGGAAGCTAATGACCTAAATATGTCAGAAAAGTTATTTGTAAACGATCCTCCATCAAGTAATGAAGAAATCGAAACACTTTATCAAGTAATTTTATGTATTATTGTTATAAATAAAATTTTGAACATTTATTTTGTTACTATTTATTTACTAATGAACAACAATTTAGTTTGCAGTTAATATAGATCATTTCATAAACTGTGGAGATAAAAATATATCACTTCATTAGGAGGTTGCAGTTGATGTAGATCATTTCATAAACTGTGGAGATAAAAATATATTACTTCATTAGGAGGTTGCGTAGAGAGTTTTAGTAGTAAATAAAAGTAAGGGCAAAATGATAATAAAAAATATTGGTTCATATATTAATTTATATGAAACTCAATCCTCAAGTGAACAATAGATTTACCAATGGTGTGTTTGAGAGCCTGATCAATAATGTTTTAGAGAGCCTGAAAGTGAACTAGCCTCACTCAACGGAGATGTATCCTTGTAACCTTAATAGTAATATAGTAATTTAAAAAGGAGATTATATGATCAGGAGATTCCACAGAGAGTTTGAAAGTATTTTTTTTGTGACCAATAGTTTAGAGATCTGCATTAAGATTTTTTTATGAACCATAAGTTAAGGATTACTTTAATGTACTTGAAGCTTAAAGGTTATATTTACATGCTTATTATCATATGATATCATAAATTAAAGAAAGTTCAGACTTTACAAATTAAGTACTTTTTTTATTTACTTATTTTGTATATAAAAAAAAAATTACAAAAGAGTTTTAAGGGTATTAGATTGTAAAAACTCTTATAATAAATTTATAAAAGGCTTTCACCTTATTTCGATAAAAAAAGTGCTTTGTACCTCTTATTAATTTAATAGGAGGTCGTAGATGTAAATTTAGGCGTAAGTGTAAATATAGTGTAGATGTGATTATTTTCTGCCTAAGATTAATGCTGGATGTTCTTGGTTCTATTATTGTTTTTTTGTTTGTGTTTTCTAAGTAGTTGGATTAGTGGTTCCTGTTATCTCCTTATGAGGGTACAGCTGTAAAACTCATTTGAGTTTTAATAAAAAACACACTTACCTCAACGATTCTGAGGCCAGCTGGTAGCAAGATTTCTCAACTCTAAAAGATTTCTCAAACTCTGTGGTAGCTCTAAGAAAAGCTGATTCCATCAGTAGATATATAGCTTTTTCTTTTTTTATCTCTCAGCCAATATTGTCATTATTGGTGACATGCTCATACTAAATGAACATGACTTTAGTACTACTGGGATAAATAAAATACTGAAGTAAACTTAACTGACCCAAACTTTATTTTTCCTTTTCAATCTCTCAAGTCGTTTTTTCAATATCTTACTAAGAACTCTGTGACTTTTTTTTGATACAACCCTTTTCACTTACCTTTTTTTATTTATTTCTGACCTTAGCTTGTGTTCAGTTTCATTCCTGTCACAGCTGTGGCAGATATATTCAATGTTTCAGAGCACCGCGGAAGAGCATTTAATAGAAAGTTCACGCCTCCTTCTCAACCGGTTTTGCCTAGAGGTGGGGTTTGAACCACCGATCTTACGTTTCTGAGGCAAGTGCGTTACCACTGCCCCACGGCTGCTTAAATGCCACGGCTGTGTGTTCAATGGTAGATCTTTGTGATATCCCAGAAGTCACTGAAAGGATAGTGAGTTTTGTTCATTAATGATGACTTAAATACTGAGGTTGGAATGCAATGTTTTAATAGTTTAAAAAAATTCCTGAATGTAATAAATGAAGAAAACTTATGGAAAAGTCCAGCATGGTAAACTTTATCAAAAGCCCTCAATATGTCTAGAGCAATAGCCCTAACTGTTTTGACTAAATTCACTATAAAAAACATTCTGTTATTACTGTTAAATTCACTATAAAAAACTTTCTGTTATTACTGTTAATTTCACTATAAAAAACTTTCTGTTATTTATGTTAAATTCACTATAAAAAACTTTATGTTAACAAGTCAGTAGTAAAATAACAAGATTAAAATATTGATTATCAGAGAAATTGTTAAACTCAAAGTTAGATATTAAAAGTTTGTTCATTAAAGACTCAAAGGTCTTGCTAATAATAGTAGGATGACTGATTGGTCAGAAGGGTGAGAATGATCTCTGATTATATATTAATTAGTATTAATATATTATCTATATATTAATATATAATCAATAAGTAATATATATATATATATATATATATATATATATATATATATATATATATATATATATATATATATATATATATATATATATATATATATATATATATATGTATATATTAATATATAATCAATAAGTAATATAACAATCATAAGTCTACAAATATGTAAAAACAACAAAATAAATTAAAACAATTCAACATAAAACTTACAAGTCTCTTTTGTTTATTGTCTATTTGTTGCTCTTGAAGAAGACAAATATACGTATTTTGTGTTTTGACAAATATGTTTCTTTAACTCAGATCAGGAGTTCTCTATTGTGCTTTTTTAAAAGTTTGTTTCTCTATTGTGCTTCTTTAAAAGTTTGTTTCATTAACTGAAAATCTTTGCATTATTCAGTATTTAACTAAGTTGTATTCTTTTACTTTACTTTTTTTTTTTTTTTGCCAAAAAACTTTTATTCATCTTGTTTTTTTCTTACAACATTTAAATTTTAAATTTTTTCTTAATTTTTTGTTTTTTCATTCAAAATTTATGTTTTTTTAAGTCTTCTGTCTGCTTTTCTGGCTCTTTAAGGTTCTTTTTTGTTTTCTGTTCAAATTAATGCTTGCTTGGAGCCTTGTTGAGAATAAATTAGTTAAAAAAGATTAACAAAATTCTTTTTTTTAGTATTGTCTGAATTTCAAGACATGTGTTAGATTATTTTTGGGCTTTTATGCATTAGTTTTGAAGTCCAATTAATGAAAAACACCAGGAAAATATTTCTTTTATTGACTTGGAAATGGTCAATTGAAAAAAAATTTTTTCAGTGTTTTGTTATGTATGAGTGGCTGAAGAATCATTATTATTTTTTTATTTAACAAACCAAAGACTACATTTAACAAACAGACTAGTAATTTTTGTTAATTAGGAAAACTTTGCCAAAAGAAAAATTAACTAGCTGAAAAACAATATTTTTTCTTCTTTGGTTCTATTCAATCTTAAATGATGATTACAAGAATGACTAGTGAGGTAGTGGTGTAGTGGTAGAGCGCTTGCTTCATAAGCAAGAAGTTCAGAGTTCGATCCCCACTACGTCCCTGGTAGTACTGTGCTTAACTTGTTTCTCCTTCAGCGGCATTGTTTGTCAAGATTCATATTTTGTAGTTAAAGGGTTGAGAGAGGGTTGTAACCACAGCACTCTCTCAACTCTTGTTATTCAACAATTCCTCAAACTAGTTAATTTATACCTCAAGATATCAAACTATTTTTACCCCTAAAGTACAATTATTTTTTTTTTATATTTTCAATGTTATTCAACTCTCAAGACCAGGAGGGCCACTACCATTAAGTAGCGGCCCTCCTGGTCTTTGGAGTTGAATAACATTGAAAAGTTTAAAAAAAAAATTGTACTTTAGGGGTAAAAATAGTTTGATATCTTAAGGTATAGATTAACTAGTTTGAGAAATTTAAAAATAAACATCAAAATATTTGTTTGAAATTTAACACTGTTTACATTCAATTTAGTTATATATATTTTTTTTAGTTTAAAGCTTAACACTATTTAGAGTTAATCTAGTTGAATTTTGCTTTTTTTTTTTAAGAACGATACACCAAAACAACAAGGACTTAAACAACATGGAGTAAAGCGACCAAGTTCGCCAATATGCTTAGATGAAAGTCCTTTAAAAAGAATAAGAGAACAAATGGTTTGTTGACAATTTATTGAAAGTATTTATGATTGCATTACTATAGTATATCATCATTTTATAGTATAATGTGAAAATTAGGCTGCATATCTTATAGATCCATAAAGTTTTTAACCCTCCGTCAGGCGCAACTGATCATTTAACTCTACAACTTTCTAGTAATTTCCTGTTTTTATAAGACTTTCAAAACTCTATTACTAAATTACTTTTCAGATAACAAAAAGAGTATTAATTGACCTGTGTGTTCTGATAGGTTCATTGCGCCCGATTAAGTCATTTTATTTAAGTAGGTATTTTTAAATTTTTTTTTTAGAATTGTTTAATTTGCTCATTTTAGACTAGTAATATTAAACTAACTCTGCGTATTTGATAAAAATAAATAGAAAATCTTCTAATGGCCTAACATGCACATTGCGCCTAATTATGTCATAATTTATTTTTTAAAGAAAAATTTAATGGCGTCTCAATTTGATGAACTAAGGACGTTACTTGAGGAAGAAGTTGAAGACGAACCCGCAAAAATAGACAATTTTGCAGAAGAAAGTGATATCGACTCTGAAGATGAAGTTGAGCAATGCATTCTTAATTCAGAAACTGAGCAATCTGAAAACGAAATAAAAGAAGATGACAAAAAAGAAGGAAACTCTTTTATGGGCAAAGATAAAAAAACAGAGTGGCTAAATAAACCACGAAAAAAAAGTCGACGTTCAAAGTCACACAACATTTGCATTCATCTTCCAGGAGTTATTGGAAATGCAAAAAATGCAAAAACTCCATACGAATGTTGGAGTAACTTTTTTACAGACAATATAATTGAACTGATTGTCACATACACAAATATTTATATTGACTCTGTAAAAGATAGGTTTGTGCGACAGAGAGATATTAAATCCATGGACACAATTGAGGTAAAAGCATTCATCGGGCTATTGTATTTAGCAGGAGTATATAGAGCAAATCGAATGAGTTTGGAAGATCTTTGGGGGAAAGGTGATGGAATTGAAAAGTTCAGTCTTGTTATGAGTCTCAAACGGTTTAATACACTTATTTGTTGTCTTCGTTTTGATGATCGAAGAACTCGAAACCAAAGAAAAGAAAATGACCGCCTTGCTCCAGTTCGAATAATTTTTGAAAAATTTGTTGATAACTGTCAGAAAAGTTTTAGTCCAGGGGAAAATCTTACTATTGATGAAATGCTTCTGGGATTTCGTGGTAGATGTCAGTTTCGACAATACATACCCTCAAAACCAAACAAATACGGTATAAAACTTTATAGTCTAGTTGATGCAAGAATGTTTTAAACTCTCAAAATGGAAATTTATGTTGGGCAGCAACCACAAGGCCTTTTTTGTTTTAGCAACAAACCAAGTGATGTGGTGATAAGAATGGCTGAATCTTTATTTGGATCTGGCCAAAATATAACGGCAGATAATTGGTTTACTAGCTTCAATCTCATAGATAAATTAAAAACTAAGAAGCTTTCATATGTTGGCACTGTCAGAAAAAACAAAAAACAGCTGCCAATTGCATTTATAAATGTCAAAGGTAGAAAAGCAAAAACAAGCTTGTTTGGTTTTAATAATGATAAAGTTTTGGTCTCCTACATCCCGCGCGAAAGAACGTCATTCTAGTTTCATGTTTGCACAATGATGATGCCATTGACCCTCAATGATGTGCGCTTCTTATAACGTGAGCCGAAACACCAGACGGTGGCCTATGGTAATTTTCTATACAATACTTAATGTTGCAGGCATCAATCCACAAGTAATTTACATTGGGAATAACCTTGACAAAAAAAGAAGGTTATTTCTAAAAGAGTAATCACATGAAACCAATTCATGTGACAACTCTTTTAGAACACCTAAAGAGAAGAAGCATGAACACAGTTGGAATACCTAATAGTCTACATATTAGGATGCAAAGATTCCGTCTAAGAATTGATTAAAAAAAATCACTATCTCCTCCAACTTCTAAAAGACGTAGATGTGTCACGTGTGCTTTAGAAACGGGCGTAAGAAGGTTGTCTTGATACGAATGTCGAAAATGCAACCAATCTCTTTGCATAATTCATCAGGTTTTAGTCTGTCAACCATGCTTTTCTTTGTGTGAATGCTTCAATTTAAGTCAACATGAAATATCTAATTTAGAATAAATATGATTTAAGTAACATTATTGTGACTTACAAATAGATTATTTTGAAAAGTATTGATGTTTAGAATTAATTATGTATATGGCTATTTTGAAACTAGATTGTTTTTTGTTTTTTTACTTAAATTGTAATACTACTTAGTATTTGATGATTAGACAGACTTTTTTTTATAAAACATTTCAAGTTCTATTTATAAACATCCCTCTAAAGGTTAGTAATTACTTTTGGATGGTTTATTATATTATGGGTTGTTAAAAACAACACTTTAAAACTCTGTGTCTAATACGCACATTGCGCCTGATTTCACACGTTTTAATATTGCGCCCGACGGAGGGTTAATATATTTTATGGAAATTTTAATTTTAAAAATAAATAGAAAGAAAATGTAAGTAAAGGAAAAAACATGCATTAAATTGTTGTTAAAAAAAATATTTAAACCTAAATTAAAACCACAGTTCAGATTTAATCAATAAAAAGAAAAGAAAAAAAATAAGAAAAAACCCCTGAAGAATACAGTTTTTTTTGAAAGAGGTTTTTTTTTTTTTAATTTTATATAAATATGAATATGATATATGATAAATAAATATAATCACTCATTAATTCGATCTTTTTTAGACTTTACAAATTAAACATTTTACTTGAGAATATTTATTATCTTGAAGAGATTAAATTGATTAATTTTTTTCATTAAATTGTTGAGGTTACTAAAGTAACAGTCAATTTATGGGTTTCCATTTTTATGAAAGAACATTTACATTTTTTAAAGTTTCTTTAAATCCTGTCTTCTTATGTGTTAGAGTACTAATACCAGTTTAATTCATAAGTATTAGTTACTTAATTAACTATCCGTAACAATAAAATAGTAAGGTATACCACCAAAGTTATTTTGCATGGTTTAAATTTTTTTCACTGATTTAAAACAAATACTTTTAATATAAAATCTGTTTCTACTTAAATCATGCTCAAAAGTAAGTTAACTATAGTTAGTGTTTACAATCCCCTAAACTAAGGTCGGCATTTGGCAATGTAGACCTAACTGCCAACCTAAAGGTGTTTAAGGTTGGCAAAAAATTACTGACCTCGTTTCTATGTTTTATTGTAACCTCTTTGTGTCAAATTTTTTGCTGATCTAATGCTTCCCTCTAACCTTTTGAGGTTGGCAATTTATTGCCAACCTTACTAATTCCAAGGGTTGTGTTTATTAAAGGTAAATGCAAGTTGATAAATGAAAAATGACTTTAGGGGTATAAAAGTAATAGTTTGATACCTTGAGTTGTATTTTCACTATTTTGAAGAATTTAAAAACTGCAGGTCAAATATTATGAGTAATAAAATATTCTTCGAAATTCATCACTGTTTAGATTTAATTTAATTGAACTTTGCTTTTTAGTTTAAAGTTCAACATTATTTAGAGTTATCTAATTGAATTTTGCTTTCTTTTTTTTTTTAAGAATGATACAGCAAAGGACTTGAATGATACATCAAAACAGCAAGGACTTGATAAACATGGAGTAAAGCGACCAAGTTCGCCAATAAGTCTAGATGCAAGTCCTATAAAAAGAATAAGAGAACAAATGGTTTGTTGACTATATATTGAAAGTATTGTGTTTTTTATTGCACTAACAAAATAATCACCTCAGTTATTTTTGTTGTTTTTTTTTCCTCACATTTAATGATCTTTTTTTTTTTTAATTAAGGATAATGAATTAGTTGATGATGGAAGTGATATTCCGGATACAGAAGTATTGGTAGTTATAATTTTTAAGTATACATTATTTAAAGTATATTTTTAAATGAAAGATTTCTTAAGAAATAGTAATTTGTTTTTTTATTTAGATTCCACAAGATGAATTATTAGACACTAACCAATTACAACCAATCCAAGTGAACAATGTTAAAAAAGGAGCAATTAAACTTAGACTTAATAAGTGAATTTCTCTTTTTTAAAGTTTAATATTCGTTATACCATCAACATCTGTCATAAAGTAGTCGATTTGATAGCATTTATGCATTTATGGGAAAGCTTTATGTTAGGCAGCTCAAGATACAGTCTTAGAAACCCCAACAAATATGTGAATGAAAATATTTGAATACATGTTGTTACGTTAACGTTCTTCTATCAACACAAAAATATAATAAAAAAGAACATAAGCTTCATATATTTTTATATGATCAAACTATAAACATTTGTTGTTTTATCATGTTGACATTTATAGTTTAATATCAAACATTGTAAAATCTTTTTAGATGTATTGATAAACATGATCATAAACATTCTGTTTAACATTATGTTTGTATTTTTTTAGTTTTTTTTTATAAGCTCAAAATAAAAATGTTTACATAAAAGTTAAATTTTTTTAAATATCAAATTTATCGCAGCGCAATACTTTTGTATCAACATAGACAAATAGAATTCAGCAACTTTTTTTAATCCGTGACTAAAGTCAAGGTTTACAGTTTAAAAAAAAGTACCAAAAAAAATTTTTTTTACCTAATTTTAAACTTTCCTTCTTCTTTTTTTTGAAAATAATTCTTCGAAAGCATGTAAAATATTTTTGTTAAAATATTTTAATTTTTTTTTTCTTGCATTTTAAAGTCTACACAGCTTCTTAATAAATTTTTGCCAGGTTCACTTTTTTGCTTTCCTTTTAAAAGTCTTTTCAGCTTCTGCATTAAAGACCATCAGACCAAATCTCTGTATTATATTTTATTCATTAAAGATTTAGCATTAAATTTTATCCAATAAATCTTTTTATTGCAAGTAACTGTAAAAATAAATTTATTACTGTTTATTACAAAATATTTAGTAAAACAATGGCTTGGTTCATAGTTTGGACCACGATTAGAGTGATCCATATATTTTATAACAAGTATATTATATTCCAAAGAAATTATTTTAAAATATTTTTAATTTAAAGTTTTACAAGAATATGAAAAATCATGGTTGCCTTAAAGTTAAAAGTCTTGCTTGAACTTAATAGTTTTAAAGAATTTTTTTTAAAAAATGGACTCGTTTAGATTTGACTTTTTGTTGAATTTTGAGGAGATCAAACTTTTTTATTATTGCAATTACTTGTTGAATCTAATATTTTATTATTAATCTGTGTATAAAAACGAACACTTTGGTTCGTTTTTATACACTGATTAATTATAAAAGCCTTGACAAACAAGATTGCTGTGAGGAGAAACAAGTTAGAGATTAATCTACATTAAAACTTTGGTCTATACATGATATATTTGATGTAATTTTTATTTTGTGTCAAAGTTTTGGTTATTATAAAAATAACTATTTAATTCAATTATCCACTATTAAATAATTGTTTTAGTTATGATAAAATCATATTTTTATTTAATATTATTTTAAGTTTCTAGAGTTTTTAATGTATTCAAAAAATATTTACTGATCTTAATTTAGTTACAATAGTTCATAAAGGAAAAATATATAATGAAGTATCAGAGTACTCAAGGGTTTATGCCATATTTCACATTTGAAGATACATTATACAATGGTTGGTTACAAAATAATGGTTTAATTGTACCTGTTTGTGTGCCTAGACTAACAAATGATGAGCTCCTCAAGTTTTGCAACCTTTCATACAAAGAAGTTTGTTTGAAAATATTAACTCTGTTTATTGATTCAGATTTTATTTCTGATGTTGAGTTAAAAGGTTAATAACTTAAATAATTTGTTATAGGTTAATTTTGTTTCTGAAGTAATTGTTCTAAAAGTAAATTCTTCACATATTTTGTTTCTTAATTAATTGAAATAACAACAAAAAAAAGTTATAAAAAAACTTTTTTATTTTAAAACATACTAACTATGCACAGTTGTTGTTTTTTTTTAAACTTTTTTTATAAATTTTTTTTTTTGTTTCAATTACTTCAGAAACAAAATTTGTTCATTTTAAGAGTTTTAAGAGGTAGTTTTTTTTTCTTTCTTCCTAGGTGGTAATTTTAAAATTGCAGGAAATTCTTGCGTTTTTACAAAAAAATAAACAAAAAAGAGATTTGTGAACTTTTTTTCGGTCATTTTATTTACATCAACATATTTTATATACATTAATATGCTTTAATGAAATGCCTATAAAGCACCAGGTTGTATGAACGCGTGCAGCAGTTTTGTTGTGGTAAGTCTTTACTTATAAATAGTGTCATTAATCATTTACAAAATTATTCAATGGAGCTATTTCCTAACCTATTACCAACCAAGGCTCAAAAGGTTATGATATTGCAAAAATGATAGCAATGGATTTTATAAAAAATACGGCAAACTGTGAAGTTAAAGTTACCACTATGAATATTATTATGTGGTAAGTTGATAAATTATGCTTCATGAAGAGAAACCAGATTAACCTGAAATCTCTTTCTAAAGTTAAGTGTAATAACCTTGGAAAAAGTTTAGATCTTTTTGTTATTTCTGCATGCAAGTCCATCTCTTCGTTCTTGTTATGTTAAATGTGTAGAAATTATCAAAAACAACAAATAGTTTGCTCATGTCCTCTCAATAGAAAGGTTGAAATATTTTTAATAGTTAAGTCATAAATATTTGTTGTGAAATATAATCACTTTGTGTTTTTTTACTCTATAGACTTACTGCACACTATATTTATTATCTTGTATATTTATTATGTACTATATTATTTTACACATTTACTTGTAAAAAAAAAATATAATGCATAATGTATCATTGTGAGAAACTCTTAAATATACCATTGCAAAAAAGACAAACATACCAATGCCAAAATAAATTGAGTCATCAATCTTAATTTTGATTGAAAGGTCTATGTTGTCAAAAATATGATGCAATCTGAGTAGGATATTAAAGTTTGACAACAAATAAATTTCTCATTAAAGCTTGTTTTGTTTGTTGACAAAAAATATTTAAAAAAAAATCTATTTATTTTTATATAGTAGTTAATTAAGTTTCCTTAATTTTAAATTTTCTTATCAACCCTCATAAAAACCGCTAGTTTTTGCTTTTACTTGGTATTGTTAGTTTGTTCTCAATGCGTCCTAAGCAAAAATCTAAAAAAAAATTTATATTTATCCTACTCTAGTGTGTGTGTGTGTTCTTTTATTCTTTTTTAAAATAAATATATATTAATTGATATTAGTGTGTAAGTATGCTATTTATATATTGATAAATGTGTTTTTTTTACACAATTTTTTTGGCCCTGACTTACATGAATATATATATATATATATATATATATATATATATATATATATATATATATATATATATATATATATATATATATATATATATATATATATATATATATATATATATTAGGGTGGTCCATAAAACAACTTTTTTGAGAAAAACCTGCTGACACCCCCTAAATGTGTTTTATCTAATGCAAAAACACTAGGTTTAAAATTTTTTTGAACAAAAATTATTTTTAGGGGTAGCTCAAGGCCCTCAAAAATTTGACGGGTCCCTAATATTTTGAAAAAAAAACTTTTTCTAAAGTATGTCAACCTGGTACTCAAAATAAGCAAAATTATATAAAAAATTTAAAAATGATAATAATTTTTTATAAAAATAATTTTTTTAGGTATAAATGCATAAAAACTATTGTTTTTAAGCTGAAAATAAAAAAAGTCAATATTTTCAGGTTTTTTGAGAATAATTTTTTTTAGGCATGTTTTTTATGTAAAATGATTATTATTTTTGAAGTTTTTATACAATATCGCTTCTTTTGAGTACCAGGTTGACATACTTTAGAAAAAGTTTTTTTTTTCAAAATATTAGGGACCCGTCAAATTTTTGAGGGCCTTGAGCTACCCCTAAAAATAATTTTGTTCAAAAAAATTTTAAACCTAGTGTTTTTGCATTAGATAAAACACATTTAGGGGGTGTCAGCAGGTTTTTCTCAAAAAAGTTGTTTTATGGACCACCCTAATATATATTTAAACAATTTAAAATGTATTCTACAAAAAGAGTGCAATGTTCTTAAAAGAACAGAGCAATTACAAATTAGTAGAAAATCACTTAGCAAAATTTTTTCTCATTTAACACTGTGTTTCATCAATAAAGACTCATTAGAAATGAAGATTCATTTCTGATGAGTCTTTATTGATGAAACACAGTGTTAAATGAGAAAAAATTTTGCTAAGTGATTTTCTACTAATTTATATATATATATATATATATATATATATATATATATATATATATATATATATATATATATATATATATATATATATATATATATATATATATATATATATATATATATATATATATACACACTTACTAAAGCGTGTTTTGATAAGGATTTGCTCACTTTTTCTGCTTACCTTAAGCTATACCGTTTTTTTCGAAAAAGAAGAAGAAAAAACGAAGAATGATGAATAAAACGGTTGCTTCCCTATCCCAAACCCTTAGTTGATGTAGCAGCACTCCACTGCAAGTCAGGCTATTTGTCAGTCGATGTATGTACTGAAGCCCCCAGCAGCAGGCTATTTCAGTATGATGTCAGATTGCTTACCGTACGCAATACTATTTGTGTGTATATATATATATATATATATATATATATATATATATATATATATATATATATATATATATATATGTTCATGTAAGTCAGGGCAAAAAAAAATGTGTAAAAAAAACACATTTATCAATATGTAAATAGCATACTTACACACTAATATCAATTAATATATATTTATATTAAAAAAGAAGAAAAAAACACCTAATTGATTTTGAGGAAACTCAATTTCACACCATTAAAAAAGAATAATATAATGTTGCTTTAACAAATACAAAAATATTGCAAGATATATATAATTCAAAATAATTTTTGGCAGAATTATTATAAAGTTATTATTTACAAAATTTACTTAATCAGTACTTGGTCATAGCACCTTTTACAGCAAGGGCTGCTTCAATTCTCTGAGGCATATTGTCAAATAACCTTTTTAACACAATTGGAAAGACAAGCTTCATCATTACAGTTTCTTTTTTTAATTTTATCTTTGAGTATTTACTATACGTTTTCAATTGGATTTAAATCGGGTGATTTTTGTGCATGTTTTTTTTTTAACATATGCTTTGTTACGTTTCGCAGTGTGCTTAGAATCATAATCTTGTTGAAATAGGTAGATACCATAAAAAAATAATTCTATGCAAATTGGCTTTGCTTAATGAACAAGTATCCCACGGTACTCGTATTGAACCTTCAATTTTGTGAGTTCTTTCCCTAGCATGTGCATCTAAAGCCATAAGGCGATTCATCTGACCAAACAACTTGTCTCGATTGGGCAATAGTCCAGTTTTTATGTTTACTGCACCATTGAAGTCTATGCGCAATGTTGACTTTCGATAGAAAAAACTGATATATCTTAAATAACCCAATGAAAATCTAAATTTTTTCTCTTATGTAAACATTGAATTATAGTTTTTCTTGAGATATATATATATATATATATATATATATATATATATATATATATATATATATATATATATATATATATATATATATATATATATATATATATATATATATATATTGTTGTTGGTAATACAAGTTTCTAATATATGATGTTGGTAATACTATATGATGTTGGTAATACTAGTTTCTAATTTTATATCATCTGTAAAAATGCGATGGTTTTTGAGGGCAGCTTGAATAATGCATCTATCTTCTCTTTTTGTAGTTTTTCTCTTTCTTCCAGATCCAGAGCTGTTTCTCTTGTGTCATACTTCTTCAGAAAATCAGTAATGGTGGTTTTTCCACATCCAATATTTAAAAAAATCACAGTTCCAAATGATGACATCTCAATAATTCTTTGTTTATTGACATCATTTAGGACCATATTTATTTATTAGTAATATATTTATATACCTAATCTATTCATATAGTCTAATTACAGATTATCATACTCCAAGTAAGTTTAAAATTTATTTTTGAGTGTTTTAGAAACTAAGACCTATGCATAAGAAAAAAACTTATTATTATCAATTCGCATCATTGTAAAAACTGAACAGGTCGTCATACTCCAAATAAGTTAATAATTTTATTATCTTATTATTTTATTAAGTAATAGTTTTGTTAAATAAAAGTTTTAGTTATAATTTTATTATCTTGATAATTTGATAATAATTGATATTAGTAATTAATAAAAATTGATAGTAATTAATAATAATTGATAGTAACTAATAATAATTGGTTGTAATTAATAATAATTGATAGTAATTAATAGTAATTTGATAATAGTTGGTAATAATAATTAATAGTAGTAAATAGATAATAACTATTTATTTACAATAATTGTAAAAAGACAATTATTATCAATTTTGCAAAATTGTAAAAAGTGTTATAGGCAAATCTGCATTTTTAGAAAACCCTGATTCAGTTATTTTCATGGCTAACACATATTGTTTTGTGGAATTAAGAAGCAATAAAAAAATTCGTAGTTGAACATGAATTATTAAATAACAGGTGCAAAGTTACAGTCTAACCATCAAATTCTTGCAGTACTTTATTTTAACATTCACAAAGTTCAATTTACTGTTTGTGAAAGAGCAAATTTTGTCATTAAAGAGTGTATTATATTTTAGGAAAAAGTTAGAATCCCTATCAGAGCTATACTTAACTGTGTAAAAAGACTTGTAGATCTTCACCATGATTGGAAAGAGTTGCAAAAAAAAACTTCCAAAAAAACAAGATGTTTACAAGTGCCATGAGGAGGACTTTCAAAACAATTTGATAATTTATTTGATATAGCACATGCTGGTGCTTTAGAATGGATAAAAATAGAAGATAAAATATTTTTACAAAAAGAGAACCAGGTTGCCCAGGATGTTTAGTGGGTGTAGACAAAAAATTAGCCAAAAAAGAAGAAAGGGTGACAGAAAATTAAAAAAAGGAAAAAAAGACATGTATTTCGGAAGTTTATCATCATCTTATACGGCACAAGATTTTATACAAATGCAAGAACATTACAATCAACTCACCAGCCCCAATGAAAACCTTGAGGAACTCTTACCATATCTAATGTTCTGAAACTACGGTGATGACAAAACTACTACTGTGGTGATTTTGTGAAGAATAAATCATCCATTCAACACATTGGCACTTAAAGTAGAAAAGATAGAGTGGCGTCTATAAAATCAGATTTAGGAATAATATGTCTGAAATGGTGACCGTTCACTGGAATGGATATAAGAAGTTCTAAAGAAGAATGTTTGGCAATTCTAATTTCATTTGGAGCAAAAGAACAACTGCTAGCTTTACCCAAACTCGAGAGCTCTTCTGGCTAAGATCAAGCTGAAATTGTGTTATACGCACTTTATGACTGAAACATAGATTAGAAAGTACTAATAATGTGCTGTGACACAACAGCGTCTAATACAGGGCCATTAAAGAAGCTGTGTACTTTTAGTACAAAATCTAGACAGGGAATTACTACTTTTTTCTTGTCGCCATAAGGTTTATGAACTGGTTTTAAAATGTGTGTTTGAAAAAAAAATCCACCAAGTCACAAGTAGCCCTGACTCTGGATTCTATTCTCTATCTCTATAAATCTCAAATCCGGCCTTGTATGGAATACTGTTGCCATATCTGGGGCAGATCTTCTAATGATGCCCTTTCTCTCTTAGACAAGGTGCAAAAACGCATTGTAAACATAGTTGGACCTGCTCTTGCAGCCAACCTTCAGCCTCTGTCACATTGTCGTAATGTTGCTTTTCTTTCTCGTTTCTACAAATACTATAATGGGCACTGCTCGAAAGAGCTAGCGTCTCTTGTGCCATCTACTAAAATTCATTCTTGTGCTATTCGTCATTCAATTAAGTCTCATCCTTTTTCTTTTACTGTTCCTAGGTGCTCCAAAAACTCTTATTCATCTAGTTTTTTTCCTCGAACATCAGTTCTTTGGAATTCGCTTCCTTCATCTTGCTTTCCTGATTCATATAATTTGCAATCTTTTAAGTCTGTCAATTGTTATCTTGCTCTTCTTTTCTCTTCCAGTAACTTCCAACACTAATTAGTGGTTGCTTGCAGACTTGTTGGAAGCGAAGATAAATAAAATAAAAAAAGACAAGTTTATTCATTGCAGTTGTATATGTGAAAACATGGCTTGGATGTTGTCTAGTCGTAAAACCCAAATCAAGATTTGTGCTTTTTAAAGAGGAATACAAAACTATTGATAATTGAATCAGCCCAAAACAAATTTTGTCAAAATCTTTGGTACTTTTAAGAAATTACAGTTTTATTTAAAAGTCTTTCCTTACAAGTTAATGATGCAGCTAAAAGAGCAGTAAAACTTATTCAAGATTTTCATGGTTTGATCACATCAAAGGAAGAGCAAAAGCAGTTTTTGCTTTGCTGCGTTCAAAAGCATAAAAATCTGTATCCAGACTGTAAAAAAGCATAAAAGCATAAAGCATCCAGACTGTAAAAAAGAGACCCTTAAAGATTTTCCTTTGAATCCTGTCTAATCTGCAATTTTATATTGTTTTAATAAATTTTTTATAAAATATAAATGTTTCAATTGATTTAGCTAAACAGGAAAGGTTAAAAACAACAATTTTCTTAATCTTTATAGTTCTGTTGGCATGCGTTAATATTGTCATCTGAATATAAAATTTTGTATTTAAGTAAGTCTAGATAGTTTAAAAAGAAAAAGGGGGTATGCAATTTAATATCCAAAAAAAAAAAAAAAAAATTCACTTATATAAGGAAGACCCTAATATATATATATATATATATATATATATATATATATATATATATATATATATATATATATATATATATATATATATATATATATATATATATATATATATATATATATATATGTATATATATATATATATATATATATATATATATATATATATATATATATATATATATATATATATATATATGTGTATATATACACATACACACAAATGTATGTTTGTGTATATTTGTTATATTACGTTTTAGCTATCATAGAAAAAGCAGTTAGTGTTTTTCCAGAAAATGTTGCACCTTTAAAAGAACTTTATCCTGGTGCTTACATTCTTGAGTTGTTCCATGGCCCAACTCATTCATTTAAAGATCTTTCTCTTAGTCTTGTTGGACCTCTTTTAAATCATTCTTTGGAAAAAAGTGGTAAGCGTGGAATTGTGTATGTATGCACTTCAGGGGACACAGGGAGTGCTGCCATACATGTAATGAAAAATCAACCTAACCTTCATACCATAGTAATGTTTCCAGGTGGAAATAGGATTAGCAAACTGCAACGTCAGCTTATTACATCTGTTAATCATAAGAATATTCACACATTTAGTGCTGATTGTTCATGTGATGACTTTGATTTCTTCAACCAAAAAGAATTTGTTCCTAACTTAAAAAAAAGATATCCTAATATTGTTGTGACATCATTGAATTCATTACTTTGGTCAAGAATATTGGCACAAATGTGTCACATTGTTTATGCATATTGTAATACATCTTTTAATTTGCAACCTTTAAGAATTGTTATCCCAACTGGAGGAGCAGGACATTTAACTAGTAAGTGTCTAATTGAAATTTTTAAATATAGATATGTTAAAGCTTTTATTAATGCACAATGATATATTAAAAGTCATCTTTTGTTAAATACTAGTCATATTAGGAAAAAATGTTTTTGCACTATCTTTTATTTTATTTATATATATTTATGTAACTCATTTTTTTTTATATAATTGTATATATATATATATATATATATATATATATATATATATATATATATATATATATATAATATTAGGCTTGGACAGGAATGGCGTGCGATTGAGCGCTATTGCTGACCACACAAATGATTTTATTTTTTGACATCTTGACCACGATTGTTTAATAAACAATTTTTATATGTTTTGATGAGTTAAAAATTTCAGAAATGTTCTTAATGTAGAAACAGTAAGCTAAACTTAAACTTTTAAAAAATTAAAAAAAAATGCTAACGAAAAAAGAAACGAAAAACAAATTCATAACGGAAAACAAATTATATAAGCACTAAAATGAAAATAAAAACTTAAACTCGAAGCAAAACTTTTTGTTACGTTTTTAATTACGTATGAAATAAACGTTATTAAAGTTACGCAAAACGCTTTTAAATTAAGTAACAAATTACTACTAATGATTGGTTTAATAGAAGAAAAAATTTTATTAAATTTAATAAAAAGTCTTTTGTTTAATATTTTTAAATTGTATAAAAATTTATTTTGTCAAAAAAGTTGCAAAAAAAAAAATTGTTTAAATATTTTATATTTTATGTTATATATTTATATGTTAAATATTTAATATTTAATAATATGTTAAATATTTTAAAAAAATGTAGTTTTTTTAAAATAGTAATTTTTACTAATTTCATGCTCTAATTAGTGAGCCTAATTAAAAAAAAAGTTTTGAACTTTTTCATTTTTAAAAATAGAAAAAATAAATTAATAAAATGTGCCTGCGATTTAAATAAAATAAACTGCCAACAAGCTTTTTAATTTAATTTTAATTTGAGCATTACAACTTTATTAATAAGCGCTTCGCGTAACGAATTTAAAATTATTATAAAAAATTTAATCTCATTTATTTCTAACGAAAAAATGTTTACAAAAAATAAAATGTTTATTTAAAACATTTTAAAAAATCGTAATTTTAATCATAAAAATTAATTGTATGAACATTACAAAATGCTTTAAAACTTTTTCATTAAATCAACAAAATACATGCTTATATAAGTAAATAAAGTTATTTTATATTCTTGTGTAATTCACATAAAATTTGTAAAAGTTAGTATTCACGAAAGCTTTTGAACTTATTCACAAATTAAGGTAACTTAAAAAAATTCTTTCTAAAAATAATGGTTTAAAATTGTTTTAGGAAGACATAAGAAAATAGTTTCAAACGTTTAAATTTATCATAAAAAATTAAAAAAACTTATTTATAACGTTTTTTATTAATTTACACAAACGTTTATGTAAACAATAATTAATTTTATGGTTTTATTTAAAGCCTTTACGTAAAATAAAAAACCTTAAAAAAGATTAAAAGATATTTATAACGTAACACTTTTTTTATTGCATTCAAATTATTAAAACATCAAAATAGCAGTGGTCAAGTTGTAAAGAAATAAAAATATTAGTGTGGTCAGTTACAGAGTGCAATCGCACACCATTCCTGTCCAAGCTTGTTGTATTTTTGTATTTTTTAATGTATGAAAATGTTTAAAATGTATTTTTTAATTTTTTTTGTTTTGATTCACTCATAACAAGGCTGCAAGTAACAACTATTAGGTTAGGAGTTACTAGAAAAAAAAGAATAGAGCTATAGAGCAAGGAAAGGGTTGATAGAAGACAAAAAGTTGAAGATTCTATAAATCAGGAAAGCATTTAGGTAGAATAGAGTTCAAAAGGGTTGAAGTGTGGGGGAAAAAACTAGATAAACAAAAGTTTTTAGAACATGCAGTTATACAAACAGTAAAAAAATGAGACTTTGCTGAATGGCAAGTCAGGCGAGATTGAGTTTTATTCGATAGAACTAGAGATGATAGCTTCTTTGAGTAGCAGCCATAATAGTATTTGTAGAAAAAAGAAAGAGATGCAACTTTACGACAATGGGAAAGAGTTAGGAGATAGAATGGGTCCGACTACGTTTACAATGTGTTTTTGGACGTGCAGGGGAAAAAGCTAGGCGAATAAAAGTTTTTAGAGCATGCAGGGAAAGATTCAGTTAAAAGAATGAGACTTTGATGAATGACGAGTCAAGCGAGAATGAGTTTTGGTTGATGGAATTAGAGATGAAAGCTCCTTTGAGCAGTGGCCATGATAGTATTTGTAGAAAAGAGAAAGATATGCAACTTTACTGCAATAGAAAACAGGCTCAAGCTTAGCAGATAGACTGGGTCCAACTATGCTTACAATGCATTTTTGGACCTTGTATAGAACAGAAAGAGCATCATTAAAAGAACCACCTCAAATATGATAACAGTATTTTATACAGGAACAAATAAGAGATTTGTAGAGGTAGAAAATGGAATCAGCAGAATGAAAATGGTGATGAGCATGATAAAAAGAAACAATCTTAACAGATGCTAGTTTATTAACCGATTCTATATATAGTTTCCATGAAAAATCAGTCGTAAATACTAATCCAAGAAGACGTAAAGAAGAGGACTCAGTGAGAGGGTTGCCATTCATTAATATAGGAATGTCTGCAGTACTGCGATAGTTGTTTGCAGTAAATAATTGAGTTTTGTTGAAGTTAAAATTTACAAGCCACTGTGAGCCCCAATCTGTTACAGAAGTGAGATCAGATCAAGACCAGCTGCCTGTTCTAAGCGATTAAAAAGAGAAGACTTTTTGTCAAGACAGGAGTATAAAGTTGAGTCATCAGCAAAAAGAGCTACTTTGAATGTAAGGTTGTTGGGAAGATCTTTAATGTAAATAAGAAACAAAATAAGACCAGGAATAGGACCTTGAGTTACCCCAGAAGTTACTGGAAATAAAGAAAAGTGTTGGCCTTTGAGGATGACTTTAATAAGTGGTTAGAAAGAAACGATTTGATAATCTCAAAAACTTTCCCAGATAGACCATATGAAATAAGCTTATAGAGAAGACCAGCATGCCAAACTTTGTCAAAAGCCTTAAATATGTCAAGAGCAATAGCCCTAGCATAGATTATTTTTATCAAGACACCATCTCTATCCTTTACTCAACCAAGAGCCTGAAGGCAGGGGGTTTTGTTTCTCCTAGCCTTTGCTAAAAAAAGCACACTCTACAAGGCAGCAGGGTATGGGGCAGGTAGTACTGCCTTGCATAATACTAGTAGCAGGATGATCGTGATGATCCTGAACCTAACCTGACCTTGAGTAACTAAAAGGAGCTACTTCCTAAAAACAGTACCTTAAAACATTAGGCATGATATTTTAGAAATGCGTTAGGAAAAATATTATATCTAGCAAAATAGTAGAGATAAGAGTGAGCATAGGTTTTATAGTTGGAGTGTCTAGTCAGTTAATGAGTTCACACTGCATCAAAGCAGATTTAAATTGAAAATTTAAACATTTAAACAGAACATATACATACATAAAGTAACTTACGGGTGAACCAACACCCTGCCAGAGGTCCAGACAGAACACAAACATACATATAAGTATAAACAGACAGAACACAAACTGAATACAAACATACAGGAATTATCTTTTTCCGGATATTTCCTGAATTCCAGATATTTTTTTCAACTTTTAGTTTTTCTGGATATCCAAAACGTTTTTCATACATACAAGTTTAGGTATACATTTTTATAATATATTTCTTTTTTAAGCTTTTCAATTATCACTCATACAAAACTAAGAAAAGTTTGAAAAAAAAATTAGAAACAACAAAGCTAAATACAAAATTAAGAAGAAACATACATATAAAGTAGATTACAGGTGAGCTAAAACAGTAACTAAGGCACCTCTAACTATATGAAAGACACTATATAAAGAATATATATATATATATATATATATATATATATATATATATATATATATATATATATATATATATATGTATATATATATATATATATATATATATATATATATATATATATATATGTATATATTACCTTAGCCAGCGTATTACTATAGTTCATGGAACAGGTTACATACACCTGACCTGACACACAATATACTTGTTCTTTCTAATAATCCCCTCAATGCAGCTAATATTGTGTTCTATACCTCTAATTGACAAAACATAGTTAACTTAAAATTGTTTTGTTTACCTTCTTAATTACCTTCTTAATTTACCTTCTTAATAAATTACTACTACTAAATTTACCTTCTTAATTATCCTTGAGATATTACCTGTTTTTAAACTCTGAAAAAGCTACAGATTCAGGCCGTCAAAGTTTCACATCGCCTGTCCACAAAAATGTCTTGAATTTGAACTTGTGTGTTTTAAAGGAATTTTTGTTAATCATTTTGGGATCAATTGTGTTGTTGCCGAAGTTATTTCTGTATGGATCAAAGCAGGCTTTGAAGATTATATTCAGAAAGGAGCTCAAGTAAGGTACTTAGTAAATTTCGAAATAAAGAATGATTTTTCAGTTTGCACTTTTTTTTTGTTATCAATTAAATAATTTTTATTATTATTTACTTAGGGACAAATTAAAGAAGTTCATTAAAAAATACACTAAAATACTAAAAATGAAATCACTAGAGTTTAAATATAAAACAAAACATAACATAATAATTTAACTTCGAATTAAGTATTTTTTTAATATTTCAAAAATGGATTTTGAGCAGAAATTATGAGCAGCTAATAATGATTTAGATGTAGTTGAAAATGATCTAGAATTCTTTAAAGACCAAATGAATGAAAGGAAAATGTTGATTGAGGAAAAATATGATACAGCTTACAGAGCTAGAGCTGAAAAGAGGAGACTCAGATTTCTAACTATAGAAAAACAAAAACCAAAAAAAAGAGATTCATAGAGTTCAAGAAATCCAGGATAGTAGTATATCAATTGTAGTGAAAATTTAGATGGATTTGAAACAGCCGATTGCAAATTTGACGCTTCAACAGATGATGAATTCGACGAAAAACTTATGAAGAAAAAAAGGTAATTGTAAACTACTACATTTTTAAAAATAATTTTTATTTATAATCAAATATTTATTTTATTTCCAGAACAACTTTATTATTAATAGTGGCATATTAACTCAACAACAAATTTAAATAACAAATTTATTTATTGAACACTTTTAGATTAAAGAAAATCACTAATGTAATCATAGAACTTACTCCTGATGAGCTTATTGAAGCAACGTCAATTGTGGCTTCAAAATATAATATTGGAATACAACCTCAGACCGCAATTATGTCTGCCATTATTTCCAAATCTAATGTTAATTTTAAAGAAATAAACATCTATAGGTCTTCTGTTCACAGAAAACAGTTTCAGATAATTCAGTCAACAGGGGACCTTCTAAGAAAGCAAATAATCGATTTACAAAAAGATAAAAGACTAGATCTACATTTTGACAGATTGGCTGTGAGCGTTAGTTCTCCAAATGCTCCAGATTGCGACGATATATTGCTTGGCATTGTCCAATTAAAAAATAGTACTGGAGCATGCCAGGCAATTGAACTAATAAAATCATTAGAATATTACGAGTGTGTTAATCAACTGTTTGCTTGCTGCTGTGATACAACCAGTAATAACAAGGGAAAATATGCTGGAGCAATTCAATTGCTAAGCGTAAAGCTTAACCTCCCTTTAATATGGTTGTTATGCAGGCATCACATATATGAGCTGCATGTCTCACTTCATGGAAGTACTCACAGGAAAGACAAAAAGTCCCCATAGAGCATTATATTTAAAGTTAAAAAAAAAGTGGAATGAAGTTTGTACAGAAGTGAACACTCTAAATAGTATTGTAAAAATGAGTTGGGATAACCTAGAAGTTGATTCAGTGATGTACATTCTTGCAAAAGATGCCCTTATATTCTGTTCAAAAGCTCTGCTTAAAAATACTTTTGCAAGAGGTGATTATAGAAACCTTTGCCAGCTTGTTGTTTTTTATCTAGGTGGAAATGTAATTAATTTTAAATTCCATCAACCTGATGCTTGTCATGAGGCACATTTTATGGCAAATAGACTTTACCTCCTTACATTAGAAATGACAAAAAATGTTGTTAAAATAATGACAGAAAAGGAAGAAAATGAGGTACAGAAGGGAAGTTTTTTTGCCGCCATTCTTTATGCACCATGGTTTTTAAAAAGCTCTCAGTCTTCAAAAGCACCCAAGAATGACCTTTATACTTTCAGGGCAAGTCTTAAAATACAAGAGCAATACGATGACCAATTAGGACAGTCTTTAATAAAGAGTATAAAATGACACTCTTGGTACTTAACTCCTCAGCTTGTTGTGTTAGCAATTGGAGATCGCTAGGTTGAAGACAATCAAAAAATAAAGATGATTAATAACCTAGTTAAATTTCCTATGCCAACATTTCATATTGGGTATCCTCAAATTATTCCAGTTCTTGATTCTGAAACAACATTATCTCTTCTGGTTGGTCCAGAGTCTTGGTATCTTTTTAAAATTATTGGAATTTCAAAAAGCAAAGTTGAACAATGGGTTTACGGTGGAGTAAAATCTTAGGATAATACTGAAAGTTTTCGTAAGTTCTGTTTATTTGTAAAATATTTCTCTACTACTAAGGATTGCGCAGAAAGAAACATAAAGCTTATAAAAGACTTTTTGAAGGCATCTACAAATGATGATCAAATGCAAAATATAATTCTTGTTGCAAAAGATCATAGAAAAAAATTACAAGCCTAAATCCTAAAAGATCAACTCACAAAAGCATATACTTTATAACTGTTTTCCTATGCATTTAATTTAATAAAAAAAGATTTTTAACTTAGTTATTTTTTCTCTCTGTAATGGTTGTTTAATTCATTATTTAATTCTGCAAAATAAAATTGTAAGTTGGAGTTTTTTATATTTATTGAAGGAAAATTGTCTCAGTAATATGCGCGTTTAATCATAAAAAATAAAAATCTCTCTGAATTTATAATTACACATCTAGCAAAGTTGCAAATTTTGGCTCAAAATTTTTTATATATTTTATCTTTATAGACCAAATCACATAGTTTAGAGGATATAGTCTCTTGGTTTTCAAATTTTCATCATTTTTTGGGACACCCTAATGCACACACAACTTTTAATGCACACACAACTTTTAATGCACACACAACTTTTTGAAGAACTGTTATATTAGCTGTAGTTTTCTAGACTTTCTTAAAAATTTTCAGAATGTTATGGAACTTGTTAGAATTTTTTAGAATTCAAAATAAGAAGGTATTTTTCAGTGTCAGAATTTTGGGTTGTCTGGTATTAATGGCCCATTTGCAGCTGTGGGTTGTGTAAAGTTGTTGGAAAAGAAGCTTGAAACTTGCCATTGAAGTATTCACAATGTTATTTTGTGCATTGTGACTGACAGTGCCTCAACGATGCAAAATGTGAGTAGATTGCTACCTTGTCAACAAATTTTACGATTTGATAGATAGAGGGAGAAAAAAATTCATAAGAATATTTCTGTTCATCCTAAAACAGAAATAGTTTATTCTAACCCTAGTCCTATGTCTTAATAAAGAAACTTCTCTGGAAGTCTGAGTCCTGTGGAAGTCTGAAAACAAAATGATGAAGATCTAGTTTTTCAGAAAAAGGAGATAATGAAGCTCTTTGATTTCTTTCACAAAAAGAAAATGATAAAGTTCTTTGATTTTCCTACAGCTTTCTACATTGCTGTTGAAAAGAAGTTCCACCTTAAAAGGAGGAACTTTTTAACTTAAACAATGGTTTAATAGAAAGTTGTATTTGTTGGATAGAAGTAGACAAAATGTGTTTTTATTATTCTATGTAAAAAAAATCATTTGAAAGAAACAGTTTCAAATTTAGAAAGACAATTAAAAAAAAAAAAAAGATTAAAATATCAAATTGTTAAATTCTGAATGTCATGAAAATGCAGATAAAAATTCTTATCAAGTAAGATATGTACATGACGCAGATTTCAACCTCTCCATTTGCACAAAGTTATTCACAAAGGAAGTAATATTACTTTAAAACATTTTCTATGACCCTCAGATAGTCAAGGAGGCTGCGCATTTTTTTATGTGATGTTACAGCCCTCTTGCAACCTTTTAATTCCGTAAAACAAACCTTGACAAGGATGGCTGCCCTGTTGAGAAACAAGTTAAAAACGATAGTAACAGGTGAGAATTGAACATAAACCTCCAAGCAATGCTCTTGGTTTTCAATTTTTAAGCACCCAGATTGGAAAGTTTTTGTGGCTCCAGTAAAAAAAACCAGCTCCGGCTAGGCTTCACTAGCCTGGTTACATGTTTACAATATTATCATTTTTTTTAAAGGTAAAAATTCAGAATAACGTATTTTTATCTTGTTTTGTTTTCAAGCACTACATCACTACTGCATATTTTACTTCATGGGATAAAATTACTATGAAACATGTATTTGTGGTTTTCTTTACTTGCAAACATCGTTTTCCAGAGATTATCATAAGGGAATTATGCAGTTGTAAAAAATAAATCTCATCAAGAGTCTACAAACTAACAGGGTCAAAATTGACAAAGAAAAGCTTATGCGCCACTACTTGGTTGATATAGAACAAGAATAAGGTCTACAAAACTTTCTTTTTTTTAATGAAAAATTCTTTAAATTTAAAAAAATAATTTAATTTAAAATAGTTTTAAATTAGTTTTGTTCCATTAATAAGAAGCATGGAATACATGAAACTTCAGAGCTAAGTGAGATGTAAGGGTTGTGATGGAAGTACTTTACACATGTTATCATAGAAATCAAGTTTACCAGACAATTTACATATCCTATGTTTAAATAGTAAAAGAATATGTATAAATATTAAAGAGTACATACACACTTTTTAATTTTTTTTTGAGTAACTCTTATATGCTGTGTACTCTATATATATAGAGTTAAATGAGGGTTAATTTGTTTTTATAAATTATGCTAATACATTGTCAAAGTGTTTTGTTTTGTTTTCTTTTTTTTTTAAAGGTGCTGTGTTGGTGCAAAAACTTGGTTTTCCTATTCATATTGTGGCAGCGTCCAATGACAAAAATCCTAATCTTTATAATTTTTTATCTGGTCAAAGTATGTCAAAAACTAGTTCAGTCACACAATCTTTTACTGTAGCAATGGACATTCAAGTAAAAATTTAAATTTTTTATGTAATTCATTTTGTACTGCAAATTTTTTTTAATATTTATTGCTTGGTTTTAGTTTCCTTGTAACTTGGATAGGCTTTTATATTTTTGGAGCGATGGCTGCACAGATACTGTTAAAAAAATAATGGATAGCTTTTATAGCGGTATACCAACAAAGGCTGATCAAAAACTACTTGAGAAGGTAATTTTTAACGTTTTAAACTTATAGTATATTTTTTTCAGCCCCTTTTTTTGAAATTTTTATGTTAAATATTTTTCTTCATATATCAATCACTTTTTATATATCCACTTGATTATTTTGTATGGTCTTACATGTTAGCTAATCTTAACGATTATAAGTATAATATAAATTTGGAGCAATTTAAGAAAGTTATTAGCAAAATTGAGGACAAAATGCCGTTTGAAACTGTGCGTGCCGCGTGCAATGATTTTGAAAGAAGATTGAAGCTGGTCATCAAGGTTAAAGGGGATATTATTCCAAAACATTTACTATAATTTATTAAGTATTATGTCAACTTTTAAATTCTAAATAAAGTTTTTTGAAGTATTGTTTTAAAAAAAAGATATACGTATTTTTGTTTTTACCAAAATATATTTGTCACGATGTAAGAATTTTCATTTTGGAGGCTTTCACTTCTTTATACGTACTATTGGTAGAGAAATTTCTTACTTTAGCATAATGAGCGCTTTTGCACCAATGAGAGAGCATCTCCATCAACTTACTGAAATCGAAATTGAGAATAAATAGGACATTATTTTTAGCCAAATTTGAAAACTTTCAAAAATGACTTCCCAATCCCAGTTTCTTTTATTATTATCATATATTGTCAAAATTCACATCTTTTTATTTTAGTCAGAGTAAAAAAAGGCAAAAGTAAGGCAGAAATATAATAATAATATAATAGTTTTCATGTTTTTTTTTAAAGTTGAAAAAATGTTAATCTAAATAATTGTTAATCTAAATGAAAAATAATCTGTTGTTCTTTGTAAAGAAAGAAATGTCATTATGTCAGTATGAGCCCGCTCAAATGTCAGTATGTTAGTACAAGACCACTGTACAAAAAAATATATTACTCATCAAGGTCGCTCTTGTTTCCATATATTCTTTAATAGCTTTAGCAAAGGTAGATTTCTACAAATCACCTTTGCTTAACAATATAACACTGACAAAGTGGTGTGAGATCCTTAGAGCAGCAGTGGCACAGTGGTTGTGCATTTGCCTCAGAAACAAATGATCCGTGGTTTAAACCCCACCTCTGGGCAAGTTTTACGACATCGGTTAGGAAGGAGGCGTGAACTTCCAATTAAATGCTCATCCGTGGTGCTCTGTGATAAGACCGTAAGGACTTCTTGGGGCACCTAAAATAAAAAGATTTAAAAAAAAAAAAAAAAAAACTGAAAGTTTTAAGTTAAGTTATTATTATTAAAATTTTAAAATCAAATTATTAATAAAAAATTTAACACTTTTTTCAAGTTTATAAACAGAAGTGATAATGTTATTCCTTAAATGTTATATAACTTATGTTGCAGTTAGTAATATTTTAAAAGTAAAATTTAAAAAATTATTTACAAAATAATAGGGATTAAAAATTTTGTGAGAGCCCAAGATTGAGGAGCGAGAGAGGGCAAGATTTGGTAGTATGTTGTTATATTAAAAACTTTTAATAAAATATAAATTATAACCAAAGTATTATTTTGAGAAATAAAGAAGCAAACTAAAGTTCAATAAATTTCAATTTAAAGTATTTAGTTAGTTTTGAAATTATATGCTATCTAATTACAGAAATAATAAATAGTTTAATTTTGATATAAACTGACTGAAACATAGATACAAGACAGTGTGACCCCTATGTCTGTTAATGATGATGACGTTATTGCAACAATAAAAAGATGCTTTAAAGAAACGCAGTATATTCTGGACCCGCATACTGCTCTTGGGTTTTCACACTACTATCGGTAAGTAAATAAAATATTTTTTACTTTCATCAAGACTAACAGTAATAAATCAAGAAATAATATGCTGAAACTTTTTTAATTTTTTTTTTAATCAATTGTAACCAAATTAGAAATTCTTGCAATTGTGTTTGTGAAAATTGTAATTTGCATTTGCATTGTTAAAATTTGTTGATGTATTTATTCAATCTTTTTACAATTTTTATTTCAAATGATGTTATTTGTTTGTGACTATTTTATATTATTAGTTTATTAAATTGCAAGTAATTTAAACAGTAAATTTTCTTAAATTATAATTGGTTTTTATATGTCATATGACAAAAAAAAAAATTATTCTGTTTGAAAACATTTCTTACGAGAAGAAAAAAGGTAGACAGCAATGTATAAGTATACTGACTGCAAAAAAGTTTTAAGGTGAAAATTTTGTTTTTTCTGTGGCTGGTCTTTTTGCTACAAAAATAATATGCAGAGGTTATAAGTTGTAAATTAAAGGCGTACAGATATAAGTGGAACCCTTCAGTATCTGCACAATGATAGAATTGATGTTCAGTCCTAATCTGAAATTGTGCTAGTAAAGTACCATCTTCAATAAAATGCCACATGTTATTAGTGAAGTTACTCAAAAAACTAGATGCTTCAAATCCAGCTACATCATTAACACCTTATGAGTATGAATTATCTAAAATTCGCTGCGAGGTTCTGTTGGTAAAATTTCATTTTTTATCAAAAGAGAGAGATTTTTTGCAAAGAGCATATTACTTTTTATTGACTATTAAGCCTGCCAGTGTAGAATTTGAAGGGCTTTTTCTGCAGCTCATCTTTTTGCAACAAAAAGTTGCTTGGGCGATGAAACTTTGAATGTGCTTTGCTTCCTTAAAATATTTTTTTATAAATAGTTACATATGTATTTTATATCTATAAAAACAATGAACTCGTTATAATTTAATAACTTAATAAGCATAACATTGAAAACGGATTTCCTTATAACTTAATAAATAGTTTGTGTTAAACCTATTTTAGAATGTTTCATGTTATTAATTTTATTCAAATTTTACTAAGATAATATGTTAATATTTTTCAAAAACAGGTATTTTGAAAACCCTGATATCAATCCTGGTATCTCGGTGTAGTATGAGATTTTTACTTCCGCATTTTTTTTACTCCTCAGTAAAAATTTTATATTAAACTTTTACTCCCCAGTAAAAATCGCATATGGTATTTTCACTCCCCAGTAAAATTTTCATATTAAATTTTTACTCCCATTATGAGATTTTTCTCCCATAAAACATTTTGCGGCAAAATTTATTTTTGCAACCAAACCACGTTGTACTTTGTGAATACCTTTAAACATTTTAATTACTGCGGTCTATTGAAAAGTAATAAAGAAACAAGTGTTTAAACAAAAAGATTAAAACCTTTGTATTCTATTATTGCAGTGGGATATATATTGTTGAAAATTTAACGATGCATACTAAATTTGCAGAAATTTGTAATTTAAAAAAAAAGGTATATATCCAAAGACAGCTATTAGTAAAGGTAATAAATCGAATTTTTGAAGAAAAATAAAACCATTTCATAAATGAAGAAGATAATAAGTTGTATCACCTGATCTGGCGATAAGGTAAGTAGTTTATATAGTTATAGTTTTTTATACTAACGTGATTTGGATAAATTTATAAATGTGTGCGGCAAAGTTGAAAACACCCCTTCACACAGTGAGGGGGTTTTCAAAGAAATCTTTTAAGGTTCTTGAATAGTAGCTTTTTTTATATTGTCTTTTTTACATATTGATTAATAAATTTTTAATCTATATAAAAAAGATAAGGCATGCTTGCATGCTGATGGTATTTAGACATCCATTAACAAGCAATTTATTAATTTATTAATTTTGAAAAAAGGGATTTGTTGACATGCTATCGAACTGCTAGATGTCATGCTGAATGAATGTTTTTTTTTGCTAATACAATCAGGAGCATTTTTAAGAATAGTATTGGGAGCGGGGTGGTGGAAAAGGTCAATTTTCAAAAAGAAGCAACTGCTTTTTTTAAAAATAATAAAATGGTTCTCAAAACTCCTTGTTTGCCGACTGAGTTTAAACTGCTGACTATATATAAATACCAACTATAACTTGATTATAACTTTCTTGAAGGGGGTGTCTCAAACACCCTTAAAGTCTCATCTAAATACAATAGGCAAACTTTTATGTATCATGTTTTACATGATTATAAAGTCACTTTAGCAGCCGTAGCGCAGTAGTTAGAGCGTTTTACTTGTAAGGGGATCGAAGATTAGAAATGGGAAACCTACTCATTAAATGCTAAATCCCAACCTACTCATTAAATGCTCTGTGATAAAACCATTATACCAAATAAACAAAACAATGAATTTTTAATGTTAATTTGGTATGACAAAGTTTTTAATGTTTTAAAAATTTAAAATGTTAATTTGGTATAACAAAGCTATGTATTTAACTAGTTAAATACATGTTTTATACATGTATATGTACAAATACATATAGCTATTTTAAAATTTATAAAATTATCTTATGTACAGTGGGTTACCTTGAAAAAAATTTGGCCTACTTTAAAATCAATTTATAAATGAATATATTTTTAATTTTTTTTATAGAGAAAAGTTATTTGGTGTAAGAAGAGCAACACCATATAATTTTGTCTGTACATTATGATAATAATATTTCTAACGCATTATCTAGTCACATAGGCATCAATTTAAAAACATGTTTAAAATATTTTTTTTTGGTTTGGAATGGTAAAAAACATTACTACCTATGTTTCAGAATGTGACAACTGTCAATAAGCAAAAAACAAGAAAATTCTAGTTAAGCTACTATTACAAAGCATATTAATTCCAAAAGGCATGAAACAGGTTGGAATTGATTTGAGGGTTGGGCTTGAAGTGAGTGGTTATAAACATCTGATTGTACTAGTAGATTATTAGTAAATTGGTAGAAGATGATCTTTTTATAATAAGTTGGTTATAAACATCTGATTGTACTAGTAGATTATCAGTAAATTGGTAGAAGATAATCTTCTTTTTGATAAAACAACAAAGTCTGTGGCATTTTTTCTTGTATAAACAAATACGTAGGCACAGTTGTTTAGAAATACAGATTAAGACAGTGAATTTGGAAATGAGCTATTCAATGAACTTCATAAGAAAACTAGGACTCGTCAAAATGTGATGAGTGCATATCATCCACAAGCTAATGGTTTAGTAGAACATCAAAATCAATCAATAAAACGCACATTGGTAAAGATGCTAGAGGATGCTGCTCTTGAATGGCCATTTATCATTGGTGCTTTAAATAAGAAAACACAAATCCACTGGATTTTCAACTTTTGTATTTAATCAAAGAGAACCTATTATGCCGATTGATATAGATTGGAACTTAATTGAATATAATGGTGCTACAACTCTAATAGATGATGGTTCAACTAACAAAAAAGCAATTTTGGAAACTTTCAATAAAATAAATGAAATGAAGAAGTTCATTTTTGATGTAGCTTACGAAAACATCCAAAAGTCAAAAATAAGGCAAAAACATGACAAAAGAGTTTAAAGAATACTATTGCTGTTGGAACAAAAGTCTTATTGCAAAATCATAAACATGACAGAAAAGATGAAAAGCTTGATAGGACCATACATGGTAACTATATCAAGTACAAATAACTGTAGTTTAAAGAATAAAATAAACGCGGTTTTGAAAAAAAAAGTATAACCTAACAAGTTTGTCCTTATACAAAGAAAACCCTAAATAATGACAGCATTCAACTAGAAGTAAATAATAAATTATCAAATGATGATAATGTTAAAACTGAACCAATTGAGTTTGTCATTTCGAAAAGGACACAATTATTTACAAGTCCATTTATTAAAACTTATTTACAAAGTCCATTTATTAAAACTTTTTTAAAATCAACAAAAAATTGATTCTTATTAAAAAAATGTCTCAGTAGCTAAAGAAATTTGGTTGAATATATATTTGAAATTTGGATATATATTTTATTGTATATGAAAACAATCATTCTTTGTGAATATGGAGCAACAATATATATATTTTTTTGTCATTTTTCTTCAACAATGACAAATAGACCTAGTCTAATTTAGATAAGTAAAATATTATTTAATATATTATATTGGACATAAATATTATTTAAATATATATTATTTGAATATATATTTGAAATTTGGTTCACTTGAATAAAAAAACGTAGCTAAAGAAATTAAACTTAGGAAACTTTTCAAAAACAAATAATTAATTTTTATTAAAAAAATGTCTACGCTGCTAAAGAAATTAAACATAGGAGTAGATAAATAAAGAACGTGTATAACTATGTAAGTTTTATTTACTATAAAAAAAACACATAAATCATACAGAAATTTTTGTTTTAAATTAATAAACTGTTAAACATTTTGTACTTGTGTCCTTTTTGAAATGATAGGTTCAGTTATCAAAGACGTCTAATCAAGCAACACATACGATAAAACTCAACAGGAAAGCAGTGTAAATGTTTCAAACGCAAGAATAGCAAAATGTGCAACTTTTAATATGAGAAAATCAATTGCAGAAAAGTTTGGAATTGTTAGGAAACACAATGTTGCCGTAGGAAACATCAATCTAAGGGGCCATCCATTAAGTAAGTACCCAGGTATGGGGGAGGGAGATTATCTCAAAACGTACGACATATAAATGCGTGTAAGTGGGAGGATGTTTATGCGTATGGGGGGGGGGGGAGATGTTAAAGACAGCGAGTACGTATTCGGTTTAACTATCTCTCCTAACTATGTGTAAAAAATCAATATTATGTTTTTTTTTCTGACTTCGATCACCATTGTTTTTTATATTTCTTTATAATTAATGAGGAGAGAAAAAAGAAACCGAGCAATAATATCTCCAAATAATGTTTTTTATTTTTTGCAATGTAATTTGATTGTAGCAAGTTGAGAAGCAAAAAGACGGTAATAAAAGCAAACTTTTTCTG